ATGATTGACTATAAATTATCTTGAATGCGTTACGTATAAATTAAAATATAATAAACTTGATATGTCAGCTCGAAAGACTTTGAATGAATCTCCTAAATTACTTTATTATGGAAACTACAAAGAGAGCTCCAATAAAAAGGTGCGCCATAAAAAGTACAATAGAATATGTGACATAAAATTTGAAACATAAAACCGACAGTTATTTGGGCGGCCATATTGAGGTGAGAGAGATAAATGGCATGGTATTGAAGTTGAGACTCCGACCAAATTGACATCGGAAACTTGACCTTTAGGACCTGAGTTATATGGTTGAGGTTAGACGTTAATTTGTTATGTAAATTCTAGGGTTTCTGAAAAGTTGATTGATAGATTGGTTATCGGAGTTTAATGGAATCTGATCTCCGGAGTAGTGACGTCACGTGATCCGACGGCGTAAAATTGGAAACCTCAGCAGAATTAATCGGGATTATCGATGAGTTAGATTTCGGATTTGTAAATGTTTGAAGATAAACTCTGTGATTTGAAAATTATAAATAACTTGAAAAATCGAACTGCCTAAGGCGGGAATTGAATTGCCGCCTTAGGCAGTTCGATTTTTTCAAGTTATTTATAATTTTCAAATTAGTTTGAGATGCGACTCTAAACGCTAAAAATTTAATAAACTCTGTGATGCCCCAATGAGCATTGTTTGAATTCATTAATTCAAACAATGTTCATTGGGGCGTAGTATTAAAGACAAAAAACTACTTATTCATCTCTCAGTCTGGCATGGACGATAGAGCTACAATAGTTAGACGGCGGTTTCACTTAATTCATACAATGAATAAACAAACTATGGCAAAAGAATAGTACAAAACAGCAGCGATTGTAAATTCATATTCATTAGAATGAATAAGATAACCAGCCATTGTGTATGTTTAACGGAAAAAATAACAATTTTGACTCTCGTATCCAACTATTCATATTCAGAGGACATGTAGAGACAAATTTTAATGTAACATTATCATAATTTATTTACCAAATGAATTAATGATAGTTGAAAAATCACACAAGAAAAGACGCAATTCGACAAAAACAAAAGTTATCTGACACATGTAAATCACAGTAGTTTATAAACGTAAACAAACACGTGCGGTCGGGTCAAAACACAGTTGCTTCGCAGTTTGGCAAGCGATATGATCAGCATAAACTTGGTGCTACTAATTTTCGTGAAAAAGCACCAACGTAAACATGTCGACAACCCCATAAAAATATAACGAGACCAAATTCAAATCCTCAATAATGTTGACATGCGCGAGTGAACTCCGTGACGTCGGCAGCTAACGACCCCAGAGTTTACACGTTCGCAACGAGATTGAAATTGGAAACTTTCGGCGCTATAAATCTTGGCCGCGGATAGAAAATCCAACAAAGACAAAGTATCGGGTACGGCTAAGCCGCCGACAGTTGGACGGACGAAACTCAATAACGCGCGGCGATAAAATATGTAGAAAACGTTGCGGATAGTGTTGCGGCCAATCCATTTTATTTACTGAGTAGTGAATTCGGTAACAATTGAGAATGTTACTAGGTATGCAAAATCACTTGAAACCTATGTTACAGTTAAGCTTTTACATTTACAAATACATTAATTTTTATTTCATTCAAAAATACCAAGTAGTTATGATTTTATAGGCATTCAAAGTTCGCTTAAATATTGAGTCCCGCCGACGGTCACGTGACCCCGTGTGACGTACATTCACAGCGTGCAGCGTCCGCTCACTAGAAAACGGATATACAAACTTATTATACATACTAGCTTTCCGCCCGCGGCTTCGCCCGCGTGGAATTTTGTCTGTCACAGAAAAACTTTATCGCGCACGTCCCTGTTTCAAAAACCGGGATAAAAACTATCCTATGTTCTTTCCCGGGACTCAAACTATCTCTATGCCAAATTTCATCAAAATCGGTTGCGAGGTTTAAGCGGGAAAGCGTAACAGACAGACAGACAGACAGACTGACAGACAGACAGACAGACAGACAGACAGACAGAGTTACTTTCGCATTTATAATATTAGTTGGGACTAGTTGGGATTAACACCCAGACCCATCACAGAAATTAAAATTGAACCAAACCCAAACTTGATGCGATTGTGTCGTTTTATTGCGAATTACCTTCCAGCTCCATCATTAGACCCCGATTACTATATAGAATTAAAATACTCATCAATATAAAACAAACGAGCCCAAACTCGATGCATTTAAGTCGTTTTATTATAGAGTTCCTATGGCCACCTTCCAGCTCCATCATCAGATCAGCTCCATGTCATCATAATATTGCATGGTCATCCAAATCACATGTGTTTGCGAAATTTCAGCTTAACCGGTTGCCTGGAAATGGGTCTTAATTCAGCTTGCAAGATTCCACCCATACAAATATGAGCCAGTCACTGTAATATGACGTCACGCGCATAAAATGGCGGGCCGGCTTAAAATTCAATATCTTGGAAACTAATTGACGTATCGAAATAATTCTTTCACGTATATTTTTTATTTTTAACAGAGAATACAGAAAGCTAAAAAACAAAATTAGTGAACATTCTTCATTACCGAATACTTCTAAATATTTATTTATTTAAATAAAGATCGTCTCTATGTCAATCTCCTTAACGACCTCAAAGTTTACGCGTTGGCAACCAACGAGATTGAAATGTAGAAACTTTGTACCTATAAAGTACGGTCACAGATAGAATATCTAACCAAGACAATGTAGTACGGTTAAGTGCCGATAGTTGAACAGAAAACCTAATAAATACTAGATGATGTTGCCGAAGTTTTCTAAGAGATTCAGGGGTCCATAATATACGTAATTCAAGCTTGGTTTATTTATTTTTTGTTTGAAAGTTAATCTCTAATTATATTTTTCAGAACAATCGTATTCGTAAACAGGTAGATTGACTTCAACTACACTGATTATTTTAGTGGTAAGTAGATAGGCCCGTATCGAATCTAATCGGAGATGTGTTTGATTGCTAAGAGTAGTTCTGAAGCGGTTAAGCGTAACAACAATCCGGTGTCGCCACAATCAAGTTCTCGATCACAGATTAATATTATGTACTTAGTTGTCGATTGTTGTCAACACTGGTAGAGACTACTGGTATTTAAATTACTTTTAGGACATCGGGTATTGTATGAAATATAACTTTTTGTCGCTGTAAGCGACGTAATTAGTGATGGGGCGGATTTGTTACAATTACAGCCATGGAAGGAAGGTCATGCTTTTTAGAGAGTGGGAATGAGGATTGCTTACGTTTGTTGCAAGTATGAGTAGGGTTAACAGATGACAGGAGTTTAGGTGAGCCTTCTTTCAGCTACATATTAATGATTGTTAGAAATATAAAACAACAAATACAAATGATAGCAAAATATAGAGTTTCTACACAAATATCATCAACTAAAACAAAAATAATCACACGGTGATAAAATACCTAATCATATCATACCTATCTATCGCGAGTTCGTGAAATAAGACGAAGACGGACGGACCTTTTTATACATATTAAGGCTGCCCTCATCCGTGTACCACGAAATAGAACATTGCCAAATAGTGTCAAGGTCAGAAAAATGCCGAGAATGAGGATCATTTCGATTTTTAGCTGTGAATGCAGATTTATAGGGCTAAGAAATCCTTAATACACAGTGCAAAAATTTTTGTTCTACGACAAAAATTGACGAAGTTATGGCCAAATTACTAAAAAAGTTCACTGACCGCCCGGCGCGGGGACGATGACGTCATTATATCCGATCCAAACGCTGCCGGCGTACTGCGTGGATAGAAAATATTTTATTCTAGCCAAATTATCAGTTTTAGAGAAAAACTTGTAATGACATTTATTCATCAGAATAAAGTAAGCTATCGATAGGTAATTTTTAAAAATGGAAATTGTGAAAAATAACGCAAAAAATCCATACGCTCATACGATTCAATGGCACGCAGAGACGCGATTGGGGTCTCCGCGGTGGTATATTTGGCGATTTATTCAAATAAAGTGTACATAAGTGTTGTTAGAGTCATATCTTCTATCCAAGTAAAATATAAAAATGTATAAGTATTAATTTATTTACCCCGGCCCGAAACTGGGTATGACTTGTCCCCTCCCCCTCCCCCCAGGCCATAAGCATAAGCTGGATATGACTCCCCTTCGGCCAGAAGCTGGGTATGACACCCCCCCATGCCAGAAATGCCAGAAACTGGGTATGACTTGACTTGAATTTTCTACAACAGTACTGATCCTCATTGATCATCTAAATACGAAAAGTGACCAGTCGTATAAAAACGTTTCATGGATTTGCGTTTTATTATCGAAAAACATTCGCTAAAACTCATTTTTTTCAACACATAATAAATCAAATTCAAGTTTAAATGCACTTTATGACATAATTTTTAAATTGTCACTATTAATATTTTTTATTGAATAACCTGTAAAGTTAATTCTACAATTTCTGAAAAATCACCTAAAAGTAACCTTTTCATTAGTGTAACCTAAAAGTAACCACAGCAGTTCAAAAGTAACCAAAAAGGTTACAAAAGTAACCTTCTGGCAACACTGATTTGACGTTTAATAACGTCACCAGTCACCACGAAATATGACACTATGATTTAGTAGTTTTTTTAGCTCTGTAAGTTTGGCACACAACACTTTGAGCAACGAGTGTTGCTAGCTACAGTATAACGATTTTGCGAATATAATTTATCTTTTGCTTTTTTTTTCATATAATATTTTTGTTATAACATTTAATTCCTTTAATACTTCACTTACGGAGCGTGTTTTTTTTAACTTAAAGGGTGGGGGTGGGTGGTCTGTTTTCTCAAATTACACAATTTGGCGCTCTTTGCCAGTAACTTTTATTCTCAATCTCATAATGGAATGTAATAAAAATAATGCCTTTTGACTACGTATAATCTGATAAACCGAATTCATGAATAAATCAATTAATCAAAACTTGAAATCATCCGTGAAATGTAACTTGCTATTGATTCTGCAAAAATGTCGTACAGAGACGTGCTTTCAGAGCGAGTATTTTGTGTTTTTTAAGTGATTTCCTAAAATGGCGACAATACATTGGTGGTTGTTTTTACTGGTTTCTTGTGAGTAACTTATCGGCTTTTTAAAACGCAATACTTAGGTACTACTAAAATACCTACGGCCTGGATAGGTATGATTACCTATCATAACAAATACTTTTCTCATCGGGAAATGCTTTGCTCATCATACCCACTGGCCGATGCAATGGGGACAGTCAGTGGGCTATGTTATGTGGGACTCTCCTCGCCCAGGGCGGAATCTACCCACTAATGTGGTGGTGGTGTCCTTTGGGGTCATTGAAACGGAGCTCCGTTGAGCCGCGAGTTATTGTCCTAAAATTGGACATTCGTCCGTAGCTATTGGACATTCGTCCGCGGCGTACTTACTTCAAAGTAATTTTACATTTCAGTGAACAATATAAACAACTCCCAAAATGTGAGCCACCGAAATTCGAGTCCAGCGAATAATAGAACAACTCCGTTAGTGAGAGGCCCAGCGCAAATTCAAGTGTAAGTTTGTGCGGATTAAATATGAAATAAAATCATTTCTAACTTTTTTTCTTAAACTCTAATTTCTGTTAGGCCCATAGGTTTGTTGGAAGATAATGCATTATTTTAAGGGAATCACACTAAACTGATTTTAACCGATACCCTTGGTCAATGTACGAAACTGTATTTTTTTCCAGTCAAAAGTAGTTTTGACCAAGGGCGTTAGTCAAATCAAAACCACCTGACTGCAAACAATCAGTTAAAAGTGGTTTCGCCTGATATAAAATTTTACTAATCAGTCAAAATTCATACAAAGTTAAGATAAGTGAAAATTACTATGAAATTATCAAAAATCTATACTATAAATACTATAATATTATAAATGCGAAAGTAACTCTGTCTGTCTGTCACGCTTTCACGCCTAAACCACTGAAGCGATTTTGATGAAATTTGGCATAGAGATAGTTTGAGTCTCGGGAAAGGACATAGGATAGTTTTTATCTCAGTTTTTGAAACACAGGGACGCGCGCGATAAGGTTTTTCTGTGACAGACATAATTCCACGCGGGCGAAGCTGAAGCCGCGGGCGGAAAGCTAGTATGTTATAAACAATTTTAAAGTGATTGGTGCATTCAAAATGCCACAGAAGTATTTAATTTCTTTAAACAAAATGGTGACACCTACCCTTTGTACAACAATAATGTAAAAACTGGCAACCCTAACGACCACACATTAATATTATGTACACTCACCACTAGATGGCGCTATACGCTTTTAGATCGCGATATCATTTGATTTTTTCCTATCCTTAAAGACCACGATTAGTTCAACATTTAACAAACTAATGTCAAGCTATGTCAAATAGCAATACAATTTTTGATAGCGTTCGCTTCCTTACAAGTGAACGTTTAGAATTTAGGCATCAGCCTCGAAAATAATCGTATCCTACTAATAAAAAATGCGAAAGTTTATTTTTCACACTAAAACCACTGAACGGATTCTGATGAAACTTTACAGTATTATTGTTTATGACGTAGAATAACATAAGTATTGGCTATAAATTTATGACGATCTGTGACAAACAAACTGAATTTCACGCGGGTGAAGCCGCGGGCAAAAGCTAGTAGTTAATACCTGTTAATACGACTAAATTTTTACCTTTACGTTTTGCGGCATTATGCCTGCCTGGCAAGCGAATACCTACTACAGGCATAGCACATTTGATTGTATTTTTCAAGTTGTAAATAAAGGCATAGAAGGACATAACAAGCAGTTTGCAATTTGCATCTCCGTGTATGGCCATAACACCACTAGATGGCGCTATATGCTTTTAGATCGCGATATAATTTGATTTTTTCCTTATCTAAAAGTAAAACGATGAAATTGAACGATATGAAGTCACCAATACGCCTTTCCATGATGGAAAATAATTTTTGAAAACGTTCACTTGTTTAAAAGTGGACGTATAAATGAAAATAAAAGTTTATTTAATACTGGGTGACAGGAAAAGCGATACATTCCTTGATAGGGGTTAAAGTAGAGCTTATTTGCAGTCACTTAAGTCATATGACACCATGTCTCTCTGCAAATAAGCTCTACTTTAACCCCTATCAAGAAATGTATCGCTTTACACCCTGTATACCGTTTTTACATAAATATATTGACTTGGCCATCGCATGAAAACACGTGTAAATTAAATTATTTAGTGCCAAGTTAAGTAAGTAGTTAGATGGCCAAGTCAATAATTTATGTAAAACGTTAAAGATTTCCTGGCCTGGACTTGGTATTACATGGATCTCACAACTTTTTACCGTAGAACAACTGAGTTGCGAGACTTGGTTTTTTTGACAAGTATTGTTTTTGATGGGTACCTACTGTTTACTGTTAACATTCAGACATCCAAACTTTCGCATTTATAATAACTAGGTATTAGTAGAATTAAATTTACTCTTGTTTGATCGAAGAACTACTTACTTACGCCCGTATTCACAAACATTACTATGAGGTCTCACAGGCCTGACACGATTAATTACTTAATTACCTGCTATTCCAGCCCCTATCAAGAATCTTTCAGAAGAAATAGCCTCCAGGACATCATCAAAAGTTTACTTGATGGAGCGAAACCTAAGAAACACAAGATGAAAGGGGTTGAGTCGGTGTACGAGCCATATTGGATCGGAGGGGAGTGGGTGTTTTATCGGTGAGAATAAAACGTAACTCCTTCTGGTAAAAACATAATCCTCCTTTTGGCGCAGTCGGGTAACAACGAAAGAAAATCTCTGTGGCCTGACGATATACCTACATTATAGATGGTTTCATCCACGAAGACGCGCCCCACCAATGTTTGGTCTCGGTCGCGCGGGGTGCGGGGAGTTTGATCCGAGCAATCCGAGCGGCATTATTGTAGTGTGCGTGTGCACTCATGGATGATTTAGCGTGTACCGATAACACTCAAACATTAGCGGAAGAATGGTGGGGCGCGTCTTCGTGGATGAAACGATCTTTAATTAAGTAATTAACAAATACTTACTTCAGGACTACGCCTGAGCTTTACAAGAAGTTTTCAACGAGAGCTCCCGTCACCACGGCGTGGTCATCCACCAGCAGTACCAAGACCAAAACTACTACTAGTATGTATCCTGTATCTTTATCATCATCATCATCGTCATCATCTATACAGGGTGTTAGATAAATGGGTATGAGCCGATACTAGCCCATGTTAACATAATGGTATGGTGAAGTCAGAAAATTGATATCATCATTTTAATTATTTTCATACTAGCGGCCGCCCGCGACTTCGTACGCGTGGATCCCGTTTTACCCCCTTCATCTATCTTACGCGGTTTAGATTTTTTCATACAAATAGTTTTTCCCGCTAACTCCCGTTCCCGTTGGAATTTCGCAATATCCTGTTGTAACTAAGCTTTAAGTTTACTAAGGTACCTGCATGCCAAATTTTAAGCGTCTAACTTACGCGGTTTAGATTTTTTCATACAAATGTTTTTTTCCCGCTAACTCCCGTTCCCGTGAGAATTTTGCAATATCCTGTTGTAACTAAGCTTTAAATTTACCAAGGTACCTGCATGCCAAATTTCAAGCGTCTATCTTACGTGACTTAGATTTTTTCATACAAATGTTTTTTCTCGCTAATTCCCGTTCCTGTAGGAATTTTGCAATATCCTGTTATAACTAAGCTTTAAGTTTACTAATGTACGTGCTTGCCAAATTTCAAGCGTCTAACTTAAGCGGTTTAGATTTTTCATACAAAAGGATTTTCCCGCTAATGCCCGTTCCCGTGGGAATTCCTAAGTATCCTATAACCTGCCCAGGAGTATGAAGAATAATTGTACCAAGTTTCGTTAAAATCCGTCGAGTAGTTTTTGTTTCTATAAGGAACATACAGACAGACAGACAGACAGACAGACAGACAGACAAAAATTTTACTGATTGCATTTTTGGCATCAGTATCGATCACTAATCACCCCCTGATAGTTATTTTTAAAATATATTTCATGTACAGAATTGACCTCTCTACAGATTTATTATAAGTATAGATAAATCTGATTTTATAAAAAAAAAATTGTATGATCCGACGATCTGGTAAACGTCGCGGGAAGAGCCTGGATGCGGGCAGCGCAGGACCGTGCATTGTGGAAAACCTTTGTCCAGCAGTGGACGTCATTTGGCTGAAACGAACGAACGAACGAACGATTTTGTATGAACATTAAAAAAATTACAATGATCTTTCTGACTTCACCATACCATTTATAAGTATGCATAATTGAATGATCAAACGAACTTACCAAGTGAAGTTCGATCTAAATTATCCTGTTTTCGCCGAAGAGATTTAAGGTCCCTCCCAACCCGAAGATTTCTATATCTTCTTCCCTGGAGGTAAACGTCAATGTCATCTCTTCTCTAAATATAATGAGACCGCTCGGACACCGAGCCCACAGCGTGGTAGGGGTGGGGTTGCCCGCTCTTTTGTTTTTTAAGAATGGCTACTGGGTAACATCTCGCATTACCTCGGAGCAAAAAAATGGCTACTGGTTAACATCGCGCGTTAACTTGGAGCTAAAAATGGGTCAAAGTTACGCGTCGTGTCACAACGCTTATAATAAAAATGTACGAGCACTTGCACAAAATAGTTGTTACAACCAACCTTTTGTTGGGTCTAATTCTCGTCACTACACTGCACAACTTAAAATAATTACGTTTTTTGTCGGTAAAAACGTCCTGGTGACGTCACTTAAGCATTTTTCTTATACTGCGTGCGGTCGTTGCGCGTGCGCACAAAGGAATGAGACCGCTCGGACACCGAGCCCACAGCGTGGTAGGGGTGGGGTTGCCCGCTCTTTTGTTTTTTAATACTACTACGCTGAATATTGTGTGCGGATTGGGTTGTCGTACAGGGGTACTACATGGTAAAATAAATCTCGGAGGCGAAAGCAGGATAATTGTATTAACATGGGCTAGTGTCGGCACATATACTCATTTACCTAACACCCTGTATTTATAAAAGCGAAAGGTCACTGACTCATCACGAAATCTCAGAAACTACAAGTGCTAGGAGTCTCAAATTTTGCATGGGGGTTCCTTTTAGAACGTAGTTAGGTGCTCACTAAGACTGCATTTTGCAAAATTCAACCGCTAAGGGGTTAAAACGGGGTCCAAGCGTACGAAGTCGCGGGCGGCCGCTAGTATTAACTAACTATGGTCCGGTCACCGAGCACGTAGAATTTCGTCCAATGACCCCAAGCTACCCATCCTTATCGCTCGCGCGTAATAATTTATTATATTGCCGCAGTTAAGTAGTGTGCGAGCGCGACGACAGCAACATAATTAGGCGCGAACGATAAGGATGGGTAGCTTGGGGTCAATGGACGAAATTCTACGTGCTCGACGACCGGGCTTTAGCTCAACTCACCCGGCGAACTTCGTACCGCTACTTAAATACTGTTTATTTTACAGCCACACCCTATTTGAACTTTATGTGTCAACACCCATGCTTGGAACTCTATGAAGAGTAAGTTGAGAAATAATAATTACAATTATCTTTTGTGGTAACCCAAATAAGGCATCATCATCATCATCATCATTTCAGCCATAGGACTTCCACTGCTGAACATAAGCCTCCCCCAATGATTTCAATGTTGATCGATTGGTAGCGGCCTGCGTCCAGCGCCTTCCTGCTACCTTTATGACACACACGCTGTTTTTCAAATAAGTATCAAAATAAAATAAGTGACTAATATCAGTTTTCACCATCAATCTCTAATTTAAGTGACCCCTATAAAAACAAAATGCTTGTTATGTGTTACCATTGGGGTCGTAGCACACTTATCAACACCCGGAAAGGGGTTGTAACCATATCAACTCGATTACTCGAGGTGGTCAGTATCCTTTGTATGAAACTCCATACTGCAACGCACTCTTATCCGCACCGTAACGTAGACGCCTCGCGAAAGGCGTTGGACAGCTCGCGAAAGGCGATACGGTGTTGATCCCTTTCCAAGTTGATAAGTCTGCTAAAGTCCGGTCGCTGAGCACGTAGAATTTCGTCCAATGACCCCAAGCTACCCATCCTTATCGCTCTTGCGTAATTATATCGCTGTCGCGAATGGACGACGGGCGGCTGCAATATACAAATGGGTAGCTTGGGGTCATTGGACGAAATTCTACGTGCTCGGCGACCGGACTTTATGACCTTTACTTGTTTGGGTGTGCATGTGACGCGTTGGTAACAAGCGCCATTTTCGCTTTTCAGTTTCGGCATAGTTTGCGCACAACGCTTCAACGGTTTACAGTACGAAATGAAGCAATTCAACGACACGTGCGATCTCTACTTCGCTAACTGTATAAGCCCATACAACAGTAAGTAGTGTTGCTATAACTAAAAATCTGAAAACCGGACTTTCCAGGTGAAAATCCGAATCCAATCCGTATTGTTGGCTTAGATCGTTTTTCATCCACGAAGACGCGCCCCACCATTCTTCCGCTAATGTTTGAGTGTTATCGGTACACGCTAAAGCATCGCACACTACAATAATGACGCTCGGATTGCTCGGAACAAACTCCACGCACCCACGTTAGGGTTGGTAGCGGCCTGCATCCAGCGCCTTCCTACCTTTATCAGATCGTCGGTCCACCTTGTGGGTGGACGTCCCACGCTGCGTTTTCCAGTTGATAAGTGTGCTACGCCTTAAAAAGCTATAGGTGCCGACAGTTTTACATAGGTACTTATAGCACGGATTACTAATATTTTTTTGCATTATAGATACTAAAGCGCAATCATTATATTTTTCAGTTCCCAGTAAGTATCCATCTACGTTTTAATCTTACCTATTTATCAAATTCCTCTTTATTTCAGTTTATTTACTTTGTTCCTACATCTTCACCTTTTTTATTGAACATTAATTATCATAGTAACAAAAAATGGGTTAGATACATTTGCCCACACGTGTCTGCCTTTTTAGCCCATGTGACTTCGCGCAAGTGTATTTTCGCGCAAAAGTCCATTCGCGCTAGTATTTTTTTTGCGCTAATGTCCACTGTCCAGTGTGCAAATGGCTTTTTCGCGCAAATATCATCTCGCGCAAGTGCCCATTTGCAAGTGTCCTACCGGGCCAGGATGCGCGCTATGATAAAATCATCGACTTTAGACGACAAATGTATGGGCTTATCACAAAAAAACGATAAAATACCTCAATAAAGTTTATCGTGGCATCCTAACCCTACTGATTACGTATTTTTGACTACTCACAGAGAACAAATGGGACTGGCACGTGGGTAAGTGGTACCTAGTCTACCGAGGTCCATGCTGGGAGTTATCAACGACGTTCGCTCCACCGCCGGTTATACCTACCAGTTTGAAGAGCCGAGCCAACTTTTGGCTATCCAAAGTGTACTATAATAAGAAAAATAATGTGTACGACTTGCATTTTTAGGGTCGTACCGCATTTGCGCCGCGCAGCGCGGCACAAAGCGTCAAATAGACTATTTAATTTTGACACAAACAACTTACCACAACCTCAGTTTTTAAAACTGAGAAAACAAGACTCTGCTATAGATTTTGTATGGCAATACAAGCAAGCGACGTCACTATTTTGTCACTCAAGTAAACTACTTTTTACAATTACAATGCAACCAAAAATCTTAATTTACAGTTAATTTCAATTAATAAAGTTTTTAAGACCAATCTTTCTTAAAAAAGTCAGTTTTTTAAAAAATGTTGTGATTTCGAATAAATTGAGAAGTAGTGTCAAATAGTCTATTATTCTTTCACTCATTTCGTATGGAATATGTAACAGCACAGTCGCTTACTAGAGAATATTTTGACGAGTGCAGTGCCGCGTGGTGCCGCACAAATGCGGTCCGACCTTTAGAGTTAATAAATTAAGTACCTGTAATAAAAGAAAAAAATTAACGAAAAATAAAACACGTTTTACATGACAATAATATTTTATTACAGCGCTAATTTACACAATCGCAAAAGCGAATATTATATACAACGATTTATTTCCTTCGCTTTAAAATTAATTAACTAAGCTTTGTATATTTTTATTACATAGCGATTTTGTAAGAGACGGAAATAGTAACAAGTTATTTTTAGTTAAAAAAGGATGAAAAAAGCCCTAACGTTGACTGGATTCAACTTTTTCGGTGACAAAGTTAAATAATGTATTTAACAAGCCCTAACTGAGTCAGCACTACAAGTGCTAGGAGTCTCAAATTTTGCATGGGGGTTCCTTTTAGAACGTAGGTGCTCACTAAGACCGGATTTTGCAAAATTCAACCCCTAAGGGGGTAAACGCGGTCCACGCGTACGAAGTCGCGGGCGGCCGCTAGTATCTAAAACAAGTAAGATCTTCGAGAAAATTACACAAAAAGTAACATTTACAACAACAAACATTTATACAAAATATATTTAACATAAAATGCCATTTTTCCAATGGTTTTTGTCCAATAATATTTACCCGAATAAAATTTTAAATAACTTCAATTTTAATCCCCTTTTAATAAAACTTACACGCTCGTTGAACAGTGTTTTAAAGTTACTTTTATTATGGAAATGTCATTTTAAAACAGTGTTCAATAACTGTGTAACTTTTTATTTGTAAGGGGGTAACTAAATGTTTAATTTTTATTTTCCTATCACATTTTTGGCATAATTTGTTTTAATTCAATATTTTAAACTTTTATTTTTAATAAACTTTACTTCTTAAAACAAAACTATTAACATTAATTTATATTAACTATTAATATTATTTTTTTCGGGACTATTCCCACCTCTCGTTCCCGCCGCTGCAACTCCTGTGTAGCCAGGATCTACAGCTTGACCGCCAATAAGCCAACTAGAGAAGGTCAATTTTGTGTCAATGTTCAAGAAATGTAGTTTTAATTTAAAAAGTAAAGTTTATATTGTTATTTATATTATTTTACACTTAACATACGTATGCCTAGTTGCCTAGTAATATAAGACATCCAATTTTGGTGTTACATTAAATTCATATTAAAGGACGAAGCACACTTATCAACCCGGAAACGGATCGTAACCGTATCAACTCGAAGCGGTCAGTATTCTTTGTATGAAACTCCGTACTGCAACGCACACTTATCCGCACCGTAATGTAAACGCCACGACTCGCTTTTTCTTCTTTTGGTTAATGGCGAAGAACTTGGGTTTTTTAGCCACTGAGGGCACACTGGTCACACTTTTAGACCGTGGTTCGCTTTCCGGGTTGATAAGTGGGCTATGACCTTATATTTTTCCTAAAATTTTTATTTTCATTTACAATCCAAATCTGTAGATTATACTAATAAAATTTGGTATAATTGTATAATTTAAGGCATAAAATATTGAGCTTATTATGGCGTTTTTGTTTAATAGAATTGCTAGATTTTAAGGTACAGTCAGCGTCAAATAGTTCGCGACACGTCTTTGTTACAATGAGGGCTATCGTTTTTATACTTAACAGTTGGCACCCCTGGCGATTAACAGGACCTTACTCTACAGTGGCGCCATCTTGATGAGTGCAAATGCGATAGTCCTCCTACCACTTTAGCGCTCACCAGTTGGCGCCACTGTCTTCGCTACTAGCAAGTGACAGGACCTTACTCTACAGTGGCGCTAACTGGTGAGCGCTAAAACGATAGTCCTCATTGGAATAAGGTTGTGTTGTCAACTTTTTGGCCACTTTGTGTGTCACGAAGTATTTGACGCTCATCCGTACTAATATAAATGCGAAAGAAACTCTGTCTGTAACGTTTTCATGCTTAAACCGCTGAACCGAAAACCGAAAAGTACGGAAATTTATTGAGATCTAAGAAAAACATAGGACAGTTTTTATCCCAGTTTTTGAAATAGGACACGCGAGAAATAAAGTTTTTCTCGTTTCAGCTCATAATGACAACTTCTCAAAATGACAACCGGGACGCAAAATGTCCACTTCTGGGAATGACAACTTCTTATAATGTCAACTTCGCTAAAAGACAACTTCTCATAATGTCTATTTCTCACTATGGCATTTGGTCAACTTCGCATAATGTCAACTACTTGTTGATATTTTATTTTTATTATTTCTAGAGTTCTAGTTCTTCTAGAGTTGTCATTATGCGAAGTTGATCAAATGCGAATTTGTCATTGTGAGAAATAGACTATATGAGAAGTTGTCTTTTAGCGAAGTTGACATTTTAAGAAGTTGTCATTTCGAGAAGTGGACATTTTGCGTCCCGGTTGTCATTTTGAGAAGTTGTCATTATGAGCTGAAACGGTTTTTCTGACACAAAATTATTGTACTACAGACAGATCTATTCATTTTTTGTATAATCATCTTTAGGTATACATATTCTTTTTTCTTAGATCAGAGTATAGCCTAGCTAGACAATAAGCAAGCTATGTCATATTTTATAGCAACCGAGCTCTCTTAAATTGTATTTTACCAAGGAAGGGTTATGTTTTATGTTTGTTCCGGCGTTTCTTCTCAGCACTTGCAATAATAATATGTTTGTCTCGAAGCGCTGGTAGGGCCCAAAAGATAAGGAGACATGTAAAGCCCCATAAGGGCTACCTTTTTAGGGTTCCGTAGCCAAAATGGCAAAAACGGAACCCTTATAGTTTCGTCATGTCCGTCTGTCCGTCTGTCCGTCTGTCCGTCTGTCCGTCTGTCACAGCCGATTTACTCGGAAACTATAAGTACTACAGTGATGAAATTTGATGGGAATATGTGTTGTATGAACCGCTACAAAATTATGACACTAAATAGTAAAAAAAAGAATTGGGGGTGGGGCCCCCCATACATGTAACTGAGGGATGAAAATTTTTTTTCGATGTACATACCCGTGTGGGGTATCAATGGAAAGGTCTTTTAAAATGATATAAAGTTTTCTAAAAAACATTTTTCTTAAAGTGAACGGTTTTTGAGATATCAGCTCTCAAAGTCGTAAAAAGTATGTCCCCCCCCCTCTATTTTTATAACTACGGGGTATAAAATTCTAAAAAAAATAGAGGTGATGCATGCTAATTAACTCTTTCAACGATTTTTGGTTTGATCAAAGTATCTCTTATAGTTTTTTTTTTATCTATACTAATATTTAGTATAAAGTAACTCTGTCTGTCTGTCTTGCTTTGACGCCTAAACCACTGAACCGATTTTGATGAAATTTGGCACTGAAATAGTTTGAGTCCCGGAAAAGGACATAGGATAGTTTTTATTCCGGTTTTTGAAACAGGGACGCGCGCGATAAAGTTTTTCTGTGACAGACATAATCCCACGCGGGCGAAGCCGCGGGCGGACAGCTAGTTTACTATATTTTGACGTTCATAAGTGCCACTAGTGGTCTAAATTGAATTAAATATTTTTGATTTTGATTTTTTATCTTTGCGAGACATTGTATTGAAATTATTTATACTCAAATATATCATAGAGAGCACGGTCGCTTTTTAATTGTAAAATAACTAATACACTTATATTATTCACAATAATGAGCATAAGATTATTGTACTTTATACATTTACAATCCATCTGGCTTCAATCCCAGTTTTTCAATCCCTCGTCTTCAGTCCATTGAAGTTTATCAATTCTATCGTTTCAGTCCTTTAAATAAAATCTAAACTCAATAAATTTAGTTTTGTTTGTAATTATTTGATCAATTATGTCATAAAATAAATTATTTATAAGCAAAAACTCTAAATTATAATCCATTTTTAATTTACCAAAACATTCTAAATTTTATCACAATGAAGTCAATCCAAAATCGATCAATTTTAAAGTTAGTTATATTTTCATATGCAAGTACACATAATATGCAATATTTTTGAATCTATAATTTTACACTTAAACACCAGCAATAGTCAAAACGTAAACAAAATATTGTTAAATGCAAAGTATTGAAAAATATATTGAGGTCAATCAAAAATCACCAAAGCAAAATAGTCTCCTTAGATGACAAATTATGCAGTTTTCATATACAACTACATATTATAATATGCACTTCTGGTAAAATAAATGCTTTAAACTTTTCGCAAAATCTGTCTGCTCCTTTTAGGCCCAGAACAGACGGTGAAATGCAACAGCAACGAAACTGCAACTGCTAGTTACTTTTGAGTTGCATCTAAGTTTCTGCCATAGCGTCCGTTGAGAGACCACACATGACGCGACCAGTTTCAAACTTTCAGTTTCAGTTTCATTCATAAGAATCATCAGAAAGTTGCAGTTTCGTTGCAGTTGCGTTGCACCGTCTGTTCTGTGCCTTATTGTAACATACGTAATATTGGCTTTAAACGTGGTTACGTTAACAAATTTCACCATCAAAACAATAAAGAAACACAGTACTAAACCTTCACAAACCTCGTTCACTTCAACCTCAATCCACTCGGCTTCAATCCAAAAACCCCAATCCATCTGACTTCAATCCAAAGACCTCAATCCGTCCGGCTTCAATCCGCTGGCTCATAATCCATGTCCCCGCAGTATTCTGCGAGGAAGTCCAGGAATAAGGTAAACTTGCCAGTAGACGAGCGTGACCACCGCGACGATACCGACTTCATACAGGTGGATAGGTTCTCTAGAATGTTCTGTGGAGAGAAAATAAGAGTTTTAGTTACCATTTATAACTCAAGAACGGCTGGACGAAGTATAGAAGTAACCGACTCTGCGCTCTGGCGATCTGATAATATTGACAGTTTTGGTCATTATTATGGATTTGTCTTGGAAACTTTTATCTAAAAATGCTATTTTAGTATTTACGGACCTAATGCCCGTTTTCACCATCAATTCCTAATTTTTAAGTGACCCCTATAGGATTTTTTTTTGGGACGTGTAAAAGTGCTTTTTTTAAGCCTATTTAGAGAAATAAATGAGTTTTAATGAGTTTTTTAATTTTGGGGTCACTTAAAAATTAGGGATTGATGGTGAAAACGGGTAAAGTGGATACCAAATTAATTTATTGCTCTATGTGGTTAAGTAAAAACTTACACCAGTATGCCTAGGTTGCGCGTCATGACAAACTTTTGTCGTGACATTTTATCGATTTATCGCGATAACCGATATCATCGATAAGACTTTGTCACGCCGCGCATTCTGGGCAGGCTAGTAAATATTTACAAATATACAAACCTGTGGCCAATCTTGTCTGTACACAGCTAGACACTGCTCAGTGAGTGAATCCTCACTCAAATAAGCATTCTTCAGCAAAAACACCAACACCGTAGCCAAAGCCTCCCATACATCAGTCGGCTTGCTCTTAGACGAACTCAATAACACAATATTCCTCGGGCACAGAATCCTGTCAAAAAACTCCAAATTCTCATCACTGATTTCATCGTTCACTTTGTCTACCACTTTCACTTCACTGTCACTGTCAACGGTCACTATTTTAATGTTGGTCACCGGTGGTCCGTCTTCGTCTGAGACCGGGGTGGGTACTCGGTCATCGTCAAAGTTCCTGAACTCCGGAGAGAGGTCAGGTCTTCTCTCTGGGAGGGTGAGTTCTTCGGGGGCACTCCGCTTCCTGTCTGGACAGCAGACGTTCCATATTGAGTGGAGCTGGTTGAGGAATGACTCGGTGACTTCTAGCGGTTTCTTGCTGACTGAAAAGATGTTTTTGGAGAGTTAGGGCCTGTATACACTATCATACAAATGAAAGTACTTAATAGTGTAATGTTCACAGTTCCATACTTAGCTTTAGCAGCGCCGTCTGCGTAGATAAGTAATTGTAATCTCAAAAGATCTTGAGTTTTTCTGAATTGGAACTGTACTATCATAACATTTTACATGGTCCTTTGAGCCAGATTGGACTAACGACCTACAGAGGCTACTGTCTACTTACCATAGACAAGGCAGAGTCCCGCGCTAAGCTGCAGCAGGGCTCACTACGTGGATAAATTCTGCATTTAGACCATAACAGGACCACGTAGTCCTTCGAGCCAGATGTGATGGTCCTTTGAGCCGGATTAAACCACTTTATTCTCATCAAAGATAAGCCACAGCTGAAAGCTGAGCTACAGTAGCACCCTCTGCGTGGTTAATATGAAATATTCATGGTCCTTCGAGCCGGATAAACTCACCATATACAAGACACAGCTCGACGCTAAGCTGTAACAGCGCCTTCTGTGTAGGCGGCCGTCGGAACACATTCTCGGGCGCACAGCACGCGGCGCAATCAATCAGTGTCTGTTGTAGATCAGTTGGTTCTTCGTCTTCAAGGAGGAGGCAGATTTGTTCCTGGAAACGAGGGTAGTTTGATGTTACGTAACGTCAACGAAAATTTGAAGTAGTCGTAACCAGCTTGGGCAGCCTGGGGAGTCAGCTTCTGGCCTAGGGGGGATGTTGACTTCTGGCCTAGGGGGGATGTTGACTTCTGGCCTAGGGGGATGTTGACTTCTGGCCTAGGGGGATGTTGACTTCTGGCCTAGGGATGTTGACTTCTGGCCTAGGGGGGATGTTGACTTCTGGCCTAGGGGGGATGTTGACTTCTGGCCTAGGGGGGAGGTTAATTCATTTAGGGGAGGAGTCATCTAGGGGGGAGGACTCATCTAGGGGGGAGGAGGTTCATCTTCTGCCCTAGGGGTGAAAACTACCCACCTTCAGATGTATAAGCGTGGCAGCAGGGCTGGTGCTGCGAGCCGCCCATTCCGCCTCGTCGACCGTGAGCGACTGTGAGCACGCGGCCTTATGCGCGGACGCTGCCCCCACCGCTATGAGATTCTTCATTTCAGCTTCTATGTCTTTGCAAAGGACGTCTGGGGAGAAAGATTGGATTAAAATAATTTAGAATCTTGGTTAAGGAGGTTTTCAAATGAGCTTCCAGAAGCGGTGAAATGGTACGCGACCATGGCGCGATTGATACGCGACTGTAGCGCGACAGTCACGTGACTGCGACGCGACATACTCACGACTGACATGCGACATGCCAGACGAGCAAGGTGTGAAATACAAGCGTAACTTTAGAATTAAGTTCTGAGTACTTCTAAAGTCCGGTCGCCGAGCAGACAGAATTTCGTCCAATGACGTCGCGACTGTAACGTCGCGGCCGCAGTGAGTGTGCGAACGCGACAGCAATATAATTCCGCGAGAGCGATAAGGATGGGAACTTGGGGTCATTGGACGAAATTCTACGTGCTCGGCGACCGGACTTTAGAGATTACTTTTCTACCACAATGATCTGCTTATGTGCTTAGAAGAAGTGGCAGACAAACAAACTCAGTCACCTTTGACTTTTACAACCGATTTCTAAATTCTAAACAGGAAATTAGTGGATAAATGCAATTTACATAAAAGTAACATAAGTCTACTGCTTTAATTTATTTAATAACTCACCAGTTCTAGTCCAATTCTGTTGCAGCCACCGTCGGACTTTGCTCAGGCAGTTGTTAGCAGCTAACGCCTGCAATAAAAACCAATGTAATTTTATTAAAATTGTCACTTTGTCTAGAGGCTGTATAATTGAAAGGTTTCCACAAAAGTCGCTCCTTAATTTCGAACTCCTCTGATGTTTTTTAGATTAATTTCGTTGCGGGTCCAATGACAGTTTAACTTTCCCCCGGGACAAACTTGACCTTCACTAGTTGGGTTATTGGCGGTCAAGCTGTAGATCCTGGCTACACAGGAGTTGCAGCGGTGGGAACGAGAGGTGGGAATACTCCCGTATTTTTTAATATGTCTAGGAGGGACCAGTCTGATTTATTAACCACTTGAGTCCCAGACGGCATTCATTAATGTCATAACAATTGATTATCTATTGTGTCTAGATTCGCGGGCCTTGAAGGATTAACGGTACATGCAAAGCTCGTAGAACCGATAGCCGATGGGGCAGAAAAGTTCTGGAGTGGCAATAACAGGCCGAAAGACGTAGTGTGGGCAGCCCTCAACTAGGTGGACCGACGATCTGGTAAAGGTTGCGGGAAGCACCTGGATGCGGGCAGCGCGAGATGGGTGGTTGTGTCAATCTTTGGGGGAGGCCTTTGTCCAGCAGTGGACGTCATTTGGCTGATACGAACGAATCGAGCAATGTGTTCGGTTTTTGGGCAATTTGCTGCGATACCGGCCCCGCCCCCTTTTCACATCTCCCTTTAGTTTCTGTGATCTGTGAATGCGACACTGGGTTTTGAAGTCAGCGCATTTGTTGGCATCACTCTAGATTTCTATGCTATACCTGCAATGGTAACGGTGCTTGAGGCAGCAAAGCCCTTAGGGCAGATGAGGCCCTCCTCTTGATGGTGACAGAGGCGCCCTCTAACGCACTAGTCCGTAGCTCGTCTAGCTTATATTACTATGGTAGCCAGAAAACTATAAACGACGACGGCTAACCATAACCATAGCGAGAAAAACGTTTATACACCCCTTAAGAAAAAGTTAAATTTGTGACAGATTGACATTCGTAGACGCTTCTCTGAGCGCAATTTTTAGTTACAAAAGAAGTCGGACGGGTGTATATCTATTTAAAGTTTTAAACTGTCACTTTGTTTAGAGGGGATAGTAGACAAAATGACAGTGAATGTATAGTCTGGTCGCCGAGCACGTAGAATTTTGTCAATATAGGTAATTACGCGCGAGCAATAAGGATGGGTAGCTTGGGGTCATTGGACAAAATTCTACGTGCTCGCAGACCGGGCTATAGAGTAAATATAAACTATACCTGTAATGGTAACGGTGCTTGAGGCAGCAAAGCCCTCAGGGCAGATGAGGCCCTCCTCTTGATGGTGACAGAGGCGCCCTCTAACGCACTCGTCCGAAGCTCGTCCAGCTTCTCGGAGTATAACGTCTGTAGTGACTGAAGTAACGCCGCCTGGAAGAGAAAATATTAAATTTACTGAATGCATGTGATATTAGAACGAGCACACCATTTTGGTTGTTATTTTGGTAATAGGCTAGATGACAAAATTTCAATTATTTATTGATATTAGGGAAACAAAAAATTTTGATATACAGACAAATAATCACACAAAAATAGGACGGAAATCAGCAAAGTTTCACAGTTATAAGAATACAGAATGCAGACTAAAATCAATTAAATAATATTAAATTAAACAGTAATTGCATTTAATGCCAAATAAATACAGTGGCAATTTAAAAAAAGTTAATTTACCCGTCAAACAGACAATTAGGAAATATTAGACACGTATTTTTTATTTTCTTTCATAATTAAATAATAACAGTGCTCCGTCGAGTTGATATGGCGCGTTACGTCACGCCTATATAGATTTTTTACTTAGAAGTGACGTTACGCGACATTTCAAGTCAATTTAATCGAATAATTCGATAAAGAAAAAAAATGAAAACGTCATAAAAAATAAAACTCATTTATTTATGCAAATAGGCTTTTAAAAAGCACTTTTACACGTCCCAGTATTAACCCTACCACTGCTTCGGGATAATAAATGGGCCAGTGCTGTGAAGAAGAAGAAAAAATATTATATATTTTTTTAATATCTAGAGGCGGGTGTCTAGTGTCTAGAGGCGGGTGTCTAGTGTCTAGAGGCGGGTGTCTAGTGTCTAGAGGCGGGTGTCTAGTGTCTAGAGGCGGGTGTCTAGTGTCTAGAGGCGGGTGTCTAGTGTCTATTAGTGGCTAGCTTATTACCCACCTGCGTCATACCGGCTCTCTCCCGCACCGTCCTGGCGGCCCGGGCGGCCACCTGCTCTCTCGCGGTGGCCAGTGGCCGAGCCAGCTCGCGCACAGTGGCCGCGGCCACTCGCTCCGTGACCAGTTCTAACACGCGCCGAGTTGAGGACGGCTGGCTTTTGAGCATTTCTTCTTCGAGACGCGACTGGGGAACAAAAGATGATGGAATCAATTTATTTTCTGCAAAAATACTGTAAAGGAAGTAGCATACTTATCAACCAGGGGGACGCATTCGATGTCGACTGCGTAAAAAAGTGACATTAAATGTATGACGGATTGTACAGCGCCCCTAGCGGAAACTTTCAATAACTAAAATATTCTTAGTTACGACGTTTGATATAAATTCATACTAAACCCGCCGGAAAGGGATCGTAACCGTATCAACTCGAGGCGATCAGTATTCTTTGTATGAAACTCCATACTGCAACGCACACTTATCCGCACCGTAACGTAAACGCTTCGCCTCGCGGTTGACAGCTCGCGAAAGGCGATACGGTATTGATCCCTTTCCGAGTTGATAAGTCACTATAAGAGAAGTCATTATATCGTACTTTCGAATCCTTCCAATACTGTAATAATTGCCAAATAAGGTAATTTTAGTCGGCCGTTTGGTGTAGTTCGTACTAGTGGTTCGAAACGGACTACTATTCCGGAGGTAGCGGGTTCGATTCCCGCACAGTACAAACATTTGTGTGCATGAACATATTTGTTTGTATTGGACTGGGTGTTTTCTATGTATAATAAGTATGTATTTACAAAAAAAAAAGTATTTAAATACGTTTATATCCATTGTCTAGTACCCATAGCACAAGCTTTGCTTAGTTTGGGACTAGAAACGCAGTGTAAAATGTCCAAGGATATTTATATTTATTTTCATTTTATCAGGATTCAATACGGCGCATATAAATACTGCTTTACTTCTTAATGCATAATTATTATAATATTCTCACCTGTAACTCCCTTTCCTTATTCCTCAACCGATCCTCCGGGTTCAACGTCAGACTAACCGGAGTGATATGCCTGAAAGTCCCCACATCTTTCTGATCATGGCTCACTTTGCACGTAGACAGCAGCACGTTAACATCCCTCAAATACGGGCACAGATCGAACAGAATCACTTCATCTATCACTTCACTGCAGTCTATATTCACTTCACTGATCACTGGGTTATTATCACAGGTGATATCTTGAGGGAAATGAGGCAAATCGAACAACCACCCAAGCGTGCACTTTAGAAAAATCACTGTGTTCTTTTTTAGGAACGTTTCACTGGTTTTTAAGCGGTTTATATAGATGTGACGGAGGATTTTGAGGAGTTCTTGGTAGTATGGTATGCGGAGTGAAGCGTAGTCCAACATGGATAGGTAGTGGACTACCCATGGAACGGTGATTATGAGGCGGGAGGTCTGGTAGGCTGATGTCAGCATGCCTTTGAGGTCAAGCGTTGGTTGGCTCTGAAAGAAAGAGACAACACATAAATATATTTAGAGAACTAACGGCAGCCCGCGACTTCGTACGCGTGGTCCTCGTTTTACCCCCGTTAGATATCATGTCGATAGATGGCGTTTCACGGCTTCCCTCCCCCGCATGAATATTTACGAACGTCAAAGACAGTAGTTTGTCCAGCGCTGTAGATTTTAACCAATGACGATAGATGGCGCTTTTTAGACGTCTTATTTATTTATTGAAAATTTGTCACATATCGTCATAAATTATAGCCTATATGTTAAGTTTTTGCGTGAAAGAGTAACAAACATCCAGACATTAGTAGGAAGTATGATACTCTGATTTTCCTCCCCAACCCGTCTGGCCAGCGTGGGGAGTGTAGGACAAATCCTCCATTTGCTGGTAAATTAGAGTCGTGCTCCTGCATGGAGACTACGAGTAAATGACCTATTAATGATGATGATTCTGATTCTACAGATCAAGGCAGAGGCATCTATGCGGTTGCAATAGTCTGTATGAGGCGGGGGGGTAGGAGAGAATCTTAGGGGGGCAGGAGGGAATCTTACGGGGGCAGGAGGGAATCTTAGGGGGGCAGGAGGGAATCTTAGGGGCAGGAGGGAATGTGGGAATCTTAGGGGGGCAAGAGAGACTCGACTAGATTGTTACTCACGTGGTTCCTCTGAGCCACCTCGCTCTCGGCGGCGCGGCCTTTCGGCGGCTGGTGGGGCGCAGGCCGAGCTGTCTCGGGCGCCAGGTTGTATGGAGCGCGACGACACCACCGCGGGACACCGACGACCGGGGACACGCGGGAGGGAGGCGGGAGAGACAGGGGGGGACAGGAGGGAATCAAAGGGGGGCAGGAGGGACTCGGAGGGGGGCAGGGAGACTCGGAGTGGGGCAGGCGAGACAGAGGGCAGGAGAGACTCAGAGGGGGGCAGGAGGGAATATTAGGGGCGGGGGCACGAGGGAATCTTAGGGGGGCAAGTGGGAATCTTAGGGGGGCAGGTGGGAATCTTACTCACATGGTTCCTCTGAGCCACCTCGCTCTCAGCGGCGCGGCCCCTCGGCGGCTGGTGGGGCGCAGGCCGGGCTGTCTCGGGCGCCAGGCTGTATGGGAGAGCCGCGACGAAGCCCGAGAACTTGCCGAGCAGACACAGCTTCTTGGCCAGCGAGTGGTAGTCTTTGGACACGTCTGGGTGCGCTGGAAGAGATAAAACACTTTAGAGGGAAGGTAGAGATATAAAATACTTAAGTAGAGTTCGAAACATAAAGTACTTTTGTCAAGATCAGGATTTAAAAGTAAATTAGAAAACAAAAAATAAAGATGTTAGACTAGAACAAACGCAATACGGTTTTTCAGTTTTGCTCTCTTCGTAATATGACAAAATTATGTAGAGAATCAACTTTAGTGAGGAATCTGAGACATTAAACACTTTAGTGGCAAGTGAGAGACATAAAACACTTTGGTGGCATATGAGAGACATTTAAAACACTTTGGTGGCGCGTGAGAGACATTTAAAACACTTTGATGGCACGCGAGAGACATTTAAAACACTTTGGTGGCGCGTGAGAGACATTTAAAACACTTTGGTGGCGCGTGAGAGACATTTAAAACACTTTGGTGGCGCGTGAGAGACATTTAAAACACTTTGGTGGCGCGTGAGAGACATTTAAAACACTTTGGTGGCGCGTGAGAGACATTTAAAACACTTTGGTGGCATGTGAGAGACATAAAACACTTTTGTGTCCGAGACATAAAGTACTTTAGTGAGGAATCTGAGACATAAATCACTTTATTTGCACATGAGAGACATAAAACACTTTTGTGTCCTAGACATAAAGTACTTTAGTGAGGAACCTGAGACATAAAACACTTTAGTGGCACACGTAAGAGGAATAAAACACTTACCAAGTTTCGTTAAAATCCGTCGAGTAGTTTTTGTTTCTATAAGGAACATACAGACAGACAAAATTTTTACTGATTGCATTTTTGGCATCAGTATCGATCACTAATCACCCCCTGATAGTTATTTTGAAAATATATTTCATGTACAGAATTGACCTCTCTACAGATTTATTATAAGTATAGATAGTCTAACTAACACCCAGACCGTCACCGGTCACAGAAATTAAAATGCATCATTTCAATTTTTTTTTTCATTAAAACATTTAACTGATGATACAATAATTGACGTGTCCACGTGGGAATGTGTCCGATTGAAAATGTGTCCCGTTGAAATTGTGTCTCGTTGGAACCAAATCTTTAGTGGCACGTGATAGTCATAAATCCGAGACATAAAACACTTTACTGAGCGTCCCAGACACAAAACACTTTAGCAGTGTGTCTGAGACACAAAACATTTTACCGGCACGATCGAGACCAAAAGTGCAAAGTGGATCGAGACCAGATTTTTTTTATCAACAACGAAGAAGCTCTTGGCCTGTGTCTCACCTGATGGTAAGTGACGATCAGGCCGAAGGTGGAAGCGAGCTTCACCCGGAATTCTCAACCACGGAGGAGTTGCCAAAAATAAAAACACTGAAATATCACGTCCGAGACAAACTATTACACTGTACACTCACAAGTCAAACCGGGCGCCGCGTCCAACGACACCAGACTGCTAGCCACTGCGTCCTGTAAGTGTACTCGGAAGAATCCGTCCGCTGAGCGTATAAACGAAGCGTAGAACGTCTCTTTGGTCGAGAACGCGGGTAGTCGGTGGCTTTCCGCGTTGGTGGGGCAGGTGAGACGGCGTTGGAGCTTGCTGAGTTTGGATTCCTGAAATTTAATATAATGGGTATTTATTAAAATTTATAATACAGTTATTGCGCAAGCTTATTTATTACAGACTAGGACCTCGTTTTACCCCGTTATAACCAATGGTACACTGTGATTGAAACACATAACATTTCTTTATTTAATAAAATTTAAATATTATTTACGAACGTCAAAAGCAGTAGTTTGAATAGCGCTTGATAGATGGCGTTGCACGGCTTCGTCGTCCGCATGAATATTAATGAACGTCAAAAGCAATGTTGATAGATGGCGCATATTATAGTCTATCCAATATAGCTTGATTAGAATGACAGCTGCCATCAAAAGTAACGACATAACTTTGTAGTAGCGATCAATGAGAGCTAAATATTGGCGGACAAGAAATAATTCACGTCTGACCTACAAACAATATTTTCGACGACAGTGCTTCCAATAAAAATGATAATTTCGTGTAAATGCAGCGTTAAATTACACCAATAAGTAGTAATTCGAAATTATAAAAATCAAGCTAGAGTATTAACGACGTCTCTACAAGGTTATCTCGAGTTACAAAAATGTTAGTGTTGGGACATATCGACAAATGTCATATTAAATTAAAACTATTTTTTTAACATATTTAACAAATTTTTTTTCTAACTAATTTTTTTACATATTTAAGTCAAGTTATACGTTTTTCTAAATGTTCACTATTAAAAACCAAAAAACATTTCATTCTTAAATAATCAAACATCGGAAATCAATCACCGGTAATTTTTTGGGTATTCATAGCACCGTTGCTCTAGAAGAGATGCCCACCGCCCTCTAGCGAGAGAAAAAAACCACTGAAGAACACTGATGATAATGACTACGACTTAGGTTGTACACCCTTGACATGAATTTTAAATTTTACTGTCTTTAAATTTAAATCATAATTGTCATTTTTATGAATAAAGATATGAAGAAAAATTGGGTGCATTTTTTTATATCATTTTTTTGAAAACTTATCGATAAATCTATGTGAACCGTACGAAACATACCCATCACTAGTCACATTCGTTTGACAGCCGTCATTCTAATCAAGCTATATTGGATAGACTATAATTAAATATTTCTCACGTGTTATTTATTTATTGAAATTTATTTGTCACATATCGTCATAAATTATAGCCTATATGTTATACTGGGTTATAAACTATAATTCTGTAAAGTTTCGTCGAAATCCGTCAGTAGTTTTTGCGTGAAAGAGTAAGAAACATCCAGACATCCAAACTTTCGCCTTTATAATATTAGTAGGATAGTAGGATAACTCACCTGGGTGTTAGCAGGCAGACATTCAGCCAACATGTGTTGAGTGAACAAAGCAGCAAGATGAGCATAGTTTGCTGACGCCTGTCCACACGACAGCAAGGTCTTGATCCGAGCTCGGAAGGACGATAGCGACCCGCCTGACGCTGTGGTCTCTTGGTACCATCTGTGAAATAAATAACATTTATGTAATCAATAACAATATGTATTTTGCTATGAATAAATATTTTGAATTTGAATTTAGAATTTGAATCAAATCTGCATAATATACTAGCGGCCGCCCGCGACTTCGTACGCGTGGATCCCGTTTTACCCCCTTAGGGGTGGAGTTTCGTAAGATCCGTTCTTAGTGAGCACCTACGTTCTAAAAGGAACCCCCATGCAAAATTTGAGACTCCTAGCACTTGTAAAGGCTGGTCAGTGAGCACATAGAATTTTGTCCAATGACCCCAAGCTACCCATCCTTATCGCTCGCGCGTAATTATGTTGCTGTCACGCTCGCACACTCACTGCGGGCGCCCGTCGCACAGTCGCGACAGCAATATAATTACGCGCGAGCGATAAGGATGGGTAGCTTGGGGTCATTGGACAAAATTCTACATGCTTACGGACCAGGCTTTAGTTTCTGAGATTTCGTGATGAATGAGTCAGTCAGTCAGTTAGTAACCTTTTGCTTTTATCTACATCTATAAAAACGAAAGGTCACCGACTGACTCAAATTTTGCATGGGGGTTCCTTTTAGAACATAGGTGCTTACTAAGACGGGATTTTGCAAAATTCAACCCCCAAGGGGGTAAAACGGGATCCACGCGTACGAGGTCGCGGGCGGCCGTTAATATCTTATAAGAAGGCTCAAGGTCACCCAAAGGGCGATGGAGCAAGCTATGCTCGGAGTTTCCCTGAAGGGGAGTTTGATCCGAGAAATCCGAGCGGCATTATTGTAGTGTGCGTGTGCACTCATGGATCATTTAGCGTGTACCGATAACACTCAAACATTAGCGGGAGAATGGTGGGGCGCGTCCGAGTGGATGAAATTATCTATAATCATGAAAATGTATAAAGCAAAAATATGTAATAATAAAATTGTTTATTACCTCACAATCTCGTAAAACATGTCCCTCTGCTTTTTGAAGTTCTGAAAACTCATCACCGATGGAAAGTTATCAACGTTGTCCGTCTCATGGTTGAAGCATATCACACCGTTGGATATTCTCTCTACACTTTTCTTCTCTTGCTGTCCTCCTTCTAACTCACACTTTAATCCGTAAGAATTTAGCAAAAACTTCGCTAAGTCCGGATAAAAAGCTCGAACTTTCTTATTTTCACCGAGTATTTTTAAAGAATTCCTATCCAAGACAACTTCTAATATTGTGCGCATATTCCACAAGCATTTCACAGCAAAATACGTGCTATTGTGTATAGATTTCATTAAATATTCAAAATTATTGTCTTTCAAATTGCTTTCGACTGTCTTGTACTCTTCTTCGCATTGCTTTGACAGTAAAATCGATATTAAGAAGTATATTTCTGTGCTTACGCTTAAAATTAGATTGTTATTCATTAATATATCGTATATATCGCATAAGAGATCAAGTTTTTCTTTGAAAACGATTTTTGTCGAGTCCGATTTGATGTAAGTTTTTGCTTGTTCAAACGATTCCTTTTGTGTAACCTTTATTTTGGGTGCAACAGGTTTGGGTGAAGCTGTAGTGTTCAGAATATTGAATTTCTCCATCAACTTGTGACGTTCTTGCTTCAACATGCTTCTTTCCGCGTCAAATCCACTCGCTTCTTTTGATTGGATGCTTTGTTGCTTAAATACTGCGTTATCTTCAAGCAAAGAAACGCTTGACTGCTGAAAATAGTCTGAATTAAAACTGTTTAGAGACACACTCTTCTTTGAAGTGCTCTTATCAATATTTGTCGGTTTAATCCTTCGTTTATCAGACCTCAAAGAACTAGCTTTTCTCGCTCCAATCTCGGGAAATGCATCAGAATTACTCAGATCTAACTCCACAGGTTCTGAGCTATCAGAAGCATTCCTACCTTTCTTCTTTTTGGAACTCTTTTGAGCAAAATCACCGACCAAATAGTCACCTAGGCAGCTTTTTTCATGCGATCTGTGTCTGTGACTCAGCCTGGGAGTATCACATCTTTCATGCATGAAACTCCTTAACGGAGTCACTGGGCTGGTAGCTGGCAGTTCTGATCTAGAATTGCTCTTCATTGGGGTACTAGATACGAAGACTTTCTCCATGCCAGTGCTAATTCTGGACTCATCGGAGGATATCGTAGAATCATCGAATAGTTTCGTCTTAACCCGTCGTCCAGTTCGCTTTCGATCTTTGCTAGGGGATTCCTGACTGCGTAGGGACGTCGATTTGACGGATAAGGTGTCTTTTCTATCATCGCTGGTCGGGTCGCTGATGGAACGTCGGTGTTTCCGGCGCGGGTTGAGGACCTTTTCAGGCGTTTGGTGGAGAGGAGGCGGCGCATTGCTGTTCGTTTGTAGGACACTGAAAATTAAAAATTGTTTGAATAAGGAGGTGCAAAATCACCATTATAACGGAATATGCGCTATTAGACGATTATCACACTGCACCGCGCTCCGCCGCGGTCCGCGTGATTACATATAAAAAAAACCGCGCGCAGACGCGTTGTCAGTCTGTTGTGCCGCGCGTGTTTTCTATACAAACTGAGGTACTTGCATACAATGATTAAATCTGTCGTCCCGCGTACCGCGGCGGAGCGCGGTGCAGTGTGATAATCGCCTTAGGTACTTTCGCTTTTTTTATGCTATTACTTTCGCAATTGACAGCAATATTTTAAAATTTCACCTTGTACAAATAATAGACAAATATTTTTGTTTGGCACACTAAACTTTCAATAATTCAAATTCAAAATATTTTGAATATTATTGCGTTGAACAATTTACAAAAATACATTACATTCTATTTCAATTAACATGTCATTTTCAATAATCATTAACCAAATAATTGCAAATATTTTCTGGTTTACTTTTTCCAAAAGATCCCAAGTAAAAGGATATTTAACTCTTGTCTTTAACTGGGTAAAAAGAACTATTACGGAGTATGCCACAATGCTGGTTTTTAACATGACCTTTGAATGACCCAACTCAATTTTGACCAGTATTTTGGCAAACTAAAATAGTAAGACACGGGTCTTAACACAACGTTTATTAATGAGTTACATTATGTACTCACGGCTTGACGTATCAGCTGCTATGCTGCTATGTTGAAATGGAACGCGAAAGTTTAAAATCTAGTATTTTGGCACTTATGAACGTCATCATAAGATTAAAAAAGAGAGCCCTTAAGGGGCACTTTACATGTCTCCTTATCTTTTTGGCCCTAACAGTGCTTCCTTCCTTGACCTTGGAGCACTGTTGCAGTCAGTAAAATAGGTGAAAAGACAGTCATTCATGTCCAGATTAAGGGGGTATTTGTTTTTTTTTCTGCATTTAACGTTCACAAGTGCCACCAGTGGTCAAAATTTAATAAAATAATTTTAATTTTGAGACAATTAGAGTGGTTTTCTACATTCAACTGTCAAAAGCATCTCTTCTACTTTTATTAGGGCAATATCTTGGGTTTGGGTAACCACAATTTATTAATTATTCTGTCTAATAGCTTTAATGTTGCGTATTTGAAGCACACTGTTTTTGCACCACAATTTTAATAACCATCTGTCATTGCTTTGTTTATAAAAATAGAGCAACTCACCTTTCCGTCTGTGTTCTCAAATACGACAAAAAGTACGCCACGAACTCGTTTCTATTACAACAGAACAGTATACAATCCTCGGGCGGATCCTGAAATTCAACAACACAAATAAAAATAAAGAAATTAACGAAAATCACAAACGGGTTTTAGGTTAGGTCCCACCTCGATCTCTTCGTTGTTCAACCACTTAAATAACAGTTCACAGTCTAATTTTCCTTTAAGGACACTTTCTATAATAATATCGGGCATTTTGCTCGAGTCTACAGTGGAATTGTTTCATAAAATCGATTTTAGCAGCTGCGCGCTTAAACTTTCGACGAAAGCCATTTTAAAAAAAATTTGCTGTCAAACTTGTTCCATTACTTGTCTTTTTTTTTGGAAACTTTTATTGGGCATTAATATTTTTAATGTAATTAGGTTAGTATTATTGATGGCTTTAGAAGTTAATTGTTTCTTTAATTAAAAAGTTGTATTTAGTATTGCTTTATGATATTTAAAAAACATAGTGATTAAAATATTGAGATTAGTTTATTAGTGAAAGGATAATTCGTTAACCGGAACGTTAGTTTAGTTGACAGTAACTGACAAGTAAGCGTGTTCCAATCGCAATAGCTTCGTTTCCACATTTCTCAAAATCAAAATTGTACAGTACGGATTTTGTATTATGGTTTTACCATTGAAAATAAAAGTTACAAAAGTAGTAATGATTATGATCAAATTCATTCAGAAAAGTTGGGAAAATTTTTAGTAGGTCTTCGATCGATAGATTTGTTTCGACGGAAAATGGGAGATGTAGGAAAAATATTTTTATTTATTTTACTTGTAAATACCTAAGTCCCATGTTTAAAGTAATTAATCTAGTTTAAGGTCAGTAGGTATAACAATTTACCTTTATAAAGTTTATTTACGTTTTCGCAAATTGTTTTTATTTGCGCCTTCACAAAGTGTTTTTCGCTCTTTGATTAAAAATAAATTTTCAGTGAAATTTTGTTCAAGCATTATGAAAAATTTACGTGTTATTAAGTTACTAACGTTTTAGAGACATTAGAAATGTTTTAACTTACATATAAAATTTATATTATTTTCTTTGTGCTAAAATCGATAATTTTTTCAGCTGCGCACCTACCCATTATACATAAAATTCTATGTGCCATATTAGTAAAAAATGACTCTTCAGACAGTCTGTAGTATAGTAAGAATAAAAGAAGAAGTAATTGACGAAGATCTAGAAGAAAATTCAATACGGACCGAAGAAAATCTCAAATCACATCTGAACCCTGAAAATTATTATGTTACCGTTAAAGGAGAATCAATAGAGGAAGAAGAAATAAATGAAGATACGGCTATAAATGTTGAGGCACCACCTAGTGATGAAGATTGCAAAAACATTGAACTCAATATTGAAATTCGTTTCCCTGAAAGTCATGATGGTTCGTGTATTTACAGTTTATTTCTGTCTTAAACATTTAAATTTGCAAGTCAATGTGAATTTTATTAAAAGTACAATCTATAATATTTTTCTATTTGTTTTCTTTCAGCTGTAGTACAACCGCAAGTTGATTCTGCAAGGAAGAGAAAAAGAAAATCAGTTCCCAAAAAAATTGTCCAAAGCAAGAAAGTCCCCAAAAAAGATGCCAAAACCAAAAATGTTCCCAAAAAAGTAGACAAAACTTACAAAGTCCCCAAAAAAGGTGCCAAAACCAAAAAAGTTTCCAAAACAGTAACCAAAAGCAACAAAGTCCCCAAAAGTGCTGCCAAAAGCAAAAAAGTTCCCAAAAAAGTAGACAAAAGCAACAAAGTCCCCAAAAGTGTAGCCAAAAGCAAAAAAGTTCCCAAAAAAGTAGACAGCAACAAAGTCCCCAAAAGAGTTGCCAAAAGCAAAAAAGTTCCCATAAAAGTTGACCAAAGCAACGAAGTCCCCAAAAAAGTTGCCAAAAGCAAAATAGTTCCCAAAAATATTGCCAAAAGCAAATCAGTTCCTAAAAAAAAGATCTCAACGGTGAAGGAAGAAAAACGTTTTCAGTGCGATACATGTGGAAAGTCATACAAGTCGAGAGCCAAGCTGGTAATACATTTAAGAGTACATACAGGAGAGAGACCATTTGTATGTCCAGTTTGTAACCATGGCTTCCGAACAAAATGGACTTTGACTGATCACGAGTTTACACACACAGGTGCAAAACCGCATCGTTGTGAGCAGTGTGACAAAGCTTACACAACCAAACCCCAACTCAAGATACATTTGAGATGCCATACAGGCGAACTACCGTTTGTCTGCAAAACATGCGAAAAAGGCTTCAAAACTCAATGGAAAATGAAACTCCATGAACGGTCGCACACCGGCTTAAAACTGTACAAATGCGATGTTTGTGAAAAAAAGTATACTACGAGATATCAACTGACGATACACAAACGTTTACACACAAAAGACATGTTGTTCCCTTGTAAAATCTGCAAAAAAGAGTTTACGGAGAAATGTAAGGTTGCGTTGCATGAACGCACACATTTGAATGCGAAGCCATATTGTTGTGATCTTTGCGATAAAACATACAAAATTAAGTCACACTTGAAGTTTCATATTGTCACTAAGCATTTAGGTGGGAAAAAGAAGGCAAAACGAAATAAAACTCAATAGAAGATAAATAATAGCAAAATATTTATTTATTTATTGAAACTCTCAATATGCTCACTGTTTTGTTATTTAATGTGTCCAGAATCTTGAAAACTCTAGTCAATGTTTTGTATTTATTCTATTTTTGTTACAATAAAGTTGTTAGAAATAAAAAGATTTTATTAAAGTGTGTTCACTTTTCTTTATACCACACACTAGTATAAATCACCAGTTTTTTAATTATACTCAAACACTGCGTTAACAACGCAGTGTTTGAGTATAATAACTGGTGATTCGTTTTCATTATTCAATAGTTTTGTTTCATAAAAAAAATGAAAAGATCTAGAGAAAAAAAATATTTTAAAAATAATTTAGGGTAATCTGATTAATAATGTGGCAAACTTAAAAAAAGTAAAAAGTCACCACATTCGTTTTTGGGAATTCTGGGGGATATTTTGTTGTGATTTGTGTAAATAAAATAGTGATTAAATTAGAAAGAATAATGTCTGATTCGGAAATATGGATCTTCAACGGCTTGTGCCGCTGTTGCCACGCGGACGGCAAGTTTCAGAGCCTAGACGAAACCTATAATACGCTTGGAGTCGACGAAAACTTCGGTCAGATACTTCGTGAAACTTTTCAAATAAATGTAAGTTTTTGCCGTAGCTTTTTGCAGTTTATTACAAGTTCTTAGCAGACTACAGACTTTTAGATTGCCGATAGTTTGGTCAGCTTCTCTTTTGTATGAGGATTCAGCTGATAATTTTTGGCTATAATAATCTAAGTGTTATGTGTACATAATCCATACACGTTCATACTAATTAACAGCCCAATCAATCTATTGGCCTAAGTATCTTATCATATTAATATTAACATTTTTAAAAATTGGAAATGGCAGACAAAGGTGACTGAAGTTTTTTTTATGGATAACAAGGCAGGTATTTAACCGCAATCGCACCTGGTGTTAAGTGAGATGCAGTCTAGGATGGTACATATCTGCCCTGTAAGTGCCTATTCACTCTCGCCTTGAAAAGGCCCGGATTATAGTGTTCAAGAAAGACAGAAGCAGGCAACGAATTCCAGTCCCTAGCTGTTCGCATTATAAAAGAGTCATCTAAACACTTAGTGCGAGCTGGTGGAATGTCGACAATGTAGGGATGGTACGCTAACCTGCGTCTGGTTCCTCAGTGATGCAAGTTTAATTTAGAGTTGATTCTTCGTTTTCAGATTGAGCCGTTATCGGGTGAGCTTGCAGTGGACACATACAGCATTTGTCCTCCGTGCGTGTACCGGTTACGAGACGCATCACTGTTCAAAAAACAAGTTTTAGAGTTAGAGAAGAAACTATGGTCTTGTATGGAAGAAGGTTGGTGATCTCTTATTATTATGCTTATTAATTTATTAATAAACTTAGGTTGAGTCCAATGACCCCAAGCTACCTATCCTTATCGCTCGCACGTAATTATATTGCTGTCGCGACTGTGCGACGGGCGGCCGCAATGAGTGTGCGAGCGCGACAGAATTACATGCGAGCGATAAGGAAGGGTAGCATAGGGTCATTGGACGAAATTCTATCTGCTCGTCGACCGGACTTTACCAATGAAGGAGAGAAAATATACTTTCACAATTAGTAAATAATAATAAAAAAAACATGGTTTTCAGATATCACAGTTAAAGAATGTGAAACAGACTCCAAAGTTATAGTTGAAATGCAGTCTATTGGATGTTCTGATGGTAAGTTGTTTGCAAAATATTAACAAGCAGTTTTAAACCTTCAATTATGAAGTTATACACTCGGCATCAAAAATCGCACCTCCAAACACAAGCACTTATCAAATGTATGTGTTACGGCTAAAGATAGGTATGAACATAAACTTAAGATTAGCCGGCTAAACTTAAGTTTATCTTCGAGAAGCAGCTAAGGTTCGATAACATGTTAGTTTGCGTCGTGATATTCCATCTTTAGCCGGCTAATGTGCACATTAGCCAAAACGAAACGGCTAAAAATGTAATCGATGGGCGCGCCAGGCCGGCCATATTATTTAACAATTGTGACTAGATATTGTTTTAAGTAATTAACACTGAAGAAGTTTTATTTTGGCATTTTAAATACCTACAGAAGATTCTGTAATGACCAAATGGTTCCTTATTATTTTATTTTAATGATTAGGTAGACTATATTGTTTTAAGTAGGTAAATAATATTTTGTTATTGTAATAATTGTAATTTTGAATACCTACCTACATAGGTACTTACATAAAAGTATGTGTAATGAATGTGATTATTTTTTAATAAAGTTTTCGTGTCAAAATAATATACATTATTACATTATTTCCTTTTCCATTACCTTCAACATTTTTAGCCAAGGGCCTACGGTTACACTTAAGTTTAGCCGGCTAAAGATAGAAGAAACTAACATTAACACCTCGTCGAAGATAAACTTAAGTTTAGCCGGCTAATCTTAAGTTTATGTTCACACCTATCTTTAGCCGTAACATATGCATCCCCACTTCCCACCAACATTAGTACCATTTCAAAGTCTACTTCTAAGTGCCATATAAATTGGTACATATTCACTGACTTGAAGACACTAGGATTATGAAATTGGTGCATAAGGCGAACTTAATGCCATAAGGCTTTTTCTACCAGTTTGCAGAAAAAAGTTGACTGACTTTTCTATAGACTTGCCAGCTTGTTGTTCAAGCTTGTAATGTATAAAACTAAAACTTAATTTCCAGATATTATAAATGAAGAAGACCTTAAAGAAGAGTACCTAGAAACTGAGGGTAGTATAGAAGAAGAAGTTGTAATAACGTACACAGATGATAACGTGACGTGTGGTATGTTCTTATTTTATTTATAATTTTTGGGAAACATACAGTTACTAAATTATATTGTAACTGTATGTTTCAACAGTAAGAAAACACAATTTCGTTAATTTAAGACTATTCCCACCTTTCGTTCCCACCGCTGCAACTCCTGTGTAGCCAGGATCGACTAGTTTATTTTATTCGTTTTTCTGATGTATAAACAACTAGCTTTCCGCCCGCGGCTTCGCCCGCGTGGAATTTTGTCTGGCACAGAAAAACTTTATCGCGCGCGTCCCTGTCAAAAACCGGTATAAAAACTATCCTATGTCCTTTTCAGGGACTCAAACTATCTCTATACCAAATTTCATCAAAATCGGTTCAGTGGTTTAAGCGTGAAAGTGATACAGACAGACAGACAGAGTTACTATCGCATTTATAATATTAGTATAGATAATGGTCTAAAGTTTCTTTAAAATGAGTTCAGTAGTTTTTGCGTAAAAGAGTTAACAAACACTGTCTTTTAAAATATTAGTAAGATTCCTAGTGTTAGCAGAGGAGAGTTTTCATTGCATTTACAAGAACGTATTTAATTTCCAGATGAACTCAACCAGACTATTCCAAAGCGAGCAAAAGAAAAAATCTACTGCGAAGTTTGTAATAAAGAGTTTTTGAACAAGGGCTCCTTAGAACTCCACATGAAGAAGCATACTGGTGACCCTGCATTCTCTTGTGCGTTATGTGGCATCGGATTCCACCATAACCGTGCTTACTCCAAACACATAGACTCAGAACACCGTAAGAACGACCATTATGTCTGCAGCATCTGTGATAAACGGTACACCAAGGCTCAACTGTTCAAAACCCACATAAAAATTCACTTAGACGTCATATACAAGTGTGATTTCTGTTCAAAAGAGTATCCGAGAGAGAAAAGTTTGAAGGAACACATAAAAGTGCACTCCGAAGAACGATACGACTGTGCTATTTGTAACAAATCTTTCGCACAGAAGTACAGATTGAGGTTGCATCTAGCGTCGCATTCCAGTGATCGTCCGTACATTTGTGAATTATGTGGACAGACGTTTCCGCAGGCAGGGAATTTAAAAAGGCATATGAAGTTCAAGCATTCAGACGATAAAACATTCTATCAGTGTCAAGTGTGCGGCAAGAAATTTGTGACCAATTGGTATTTGAATATCCATGAAAAAGTGCATACGGGTGAAGATGAGAAACCGTTTTCTTGTGAAGTGTGTTTCAAGTGTTTTAAGTCAACTCATTTGTTACGGAGCCATATGAAAGTGCACACTGGTGAGAAACCATACACTTGCAGTTACTGTGGGAAAAGATTTGCTCATCTAACATCGTTTACCTCTCACGAACGAAGGCACACAGGTGAGAAACCTTATAAGTGTAAACTGTGTGACAAAGCCTTTGCAAATGGTACGAACTTGAAAGTTCATCAGAGGGTGCATACTGGAGAAAAACCGTATTCTTGTATGATTTGTGACAGGTAATTATAAAATTGCAAATGTTTTAGTAAAATTTTCTATCTACTGTAATAGTACTAGGGATGTTATGGATATTTAGTTTCGGTTATGGATACGGTTTCGGATATAGGAATAATATTATACCGGTTACGGTTATTTTTTTATTTCGAATATCCGAAAGTTTCGGTTACGGTTACGGATATCTGTGCTTTAGAATGTAAATTGCAATAGTTGTCCAACACCGTTCATTCATGGCCGCACACTAGGTCATCATCATCATCATCATTTCAGCCACAGGACGTCCACTGCTGAACATAGGCCTCCCCCAATGACTTCCACATCGCACGGTTGGTAGCGGCCTGCATCCAGCGCCTTCCTGCTACCTTTATCAGGTCGTCAGTCCACCTTGTGGGTGGACGTCCCACGCTGCGTTTTCCGGTACGTGGCCTCCATTCCAGAACCTTGCTGCCCCATCGGCCTTCAGTTCTGCGTACTATGTGCCCTGCCCACTGCCACTTCAGCTTGCTGATCCGTGCTTGCTGATGCACACTAGGTACATTGAATAAAAAGTAATAAAAAAATAAAAATTTATACAGATGGCATTATAAAGGTAAATCAGGCTATTATGCAACAGAAACTTTTGAATCAGTTACGGTTTCGGATATTTTTTTATTTCGGATATCCGAAATTTTCGGTTACGTTTACGGATATCCATAACATACTTACTTTCCCTCTCAAGTCGCATTACAAAATTCCATTCTGTATATTTACTTATACAATGTTTTAAATACTTTTCAACGTGTTTTCCAGACGTTTCTCCGAGAGCACGCACCGCAAACGGCACATGCGTCTGCACACAGGCGAGAAAGCCACGTGCCATATCTGTCACGTGCAAATAAGTAACCTTTCCGCACACGTCAAGAAAATGCACCCGGAGCAGTGGCAGCCGGTGCGGAGCCCTATTGAGAGGATAGCGGGGGTCGCGGATGGTGTGAAGGATGAAGCGACGGTTTGAGCGAGGCGATGGCTGGTAGTCTGAGAGAAAGGTTCGTTTAAGCGAGTTGATGGCTGATTAGACTCGAGTTAGATAGGGCATCGAGAGGATAGCGGGAGTCACGAACGATAGCGTGAAGAGTGAATGAGCTATAGACTCGCTAAAACCAGCCATTGGCTCACTAAAACCAGCCATTGAATCGCTGAAGTCAGCTGATGTCGACTCGTTGAAACCAGTCATTGGCTCTTTAAAACCAGCCATTGACTCGCTGAAATCAGCTATTGCACCGCTCAAATCAGCCATCGACTCGGTAAAACTAACCGTCGACTCACTAAAATCAGTCATCGACTCGCTGAATTGAGCGAAACAATGGCTGATTATAGCAAAGAAATGGCTAGATGAACCAAAATGCGTGGGAGATTAGATGACTAAAAGCAAGGCATTAAAGACGTGAAGTTAGAAAAGTTAATATTAACAGCACATGCGATTGAGATAGCCTCGTGCCATATTTGTCACGCAAAAATTTTCACACGTTATGAAGATATACCCGGAACAGTGGCAGCCGGTGCGAAGCCCTATTGAGAGGATAGCGGGGCTCACGGATGGTGTGAAGGATGAAGCGACGGTTTGAGCGAGGCGATGGCTGGTAGAGTGAGAGAAAGGTTCGTTTAAGCGAGTTGATGGCTGATTAGACTCAGGGCGGAGCCCTATCGAGAGGATAGCGGGGGTCACGGATGGTGTGAAGGATGAAGCGACGGTTTGAGCGAGGCGATGGCTGGTAGTCTGAGAGAAAGGTTCGTTTAAGCGAGCCGATGGCTGACAAGAGCGAGAGGATGGCTCGTTTAAGCGAGTTGATGGCCGATTAGACTCAGTGCGGAGCCCTATCGAGAAGATGGCGTGTAGTAAATGGTCGCTGTAATGAGCCATTGGCTCGCTAAAACCAGCCATTGAAGTCAGCTGTCGACTCGCTAAAATCAGTCGTCGACTCATTCAAACCAGCTATCTATTCACTTAATTGAGCTAAACAATGTTTATTTATTTATTTGATGTCGAGTTATTTAAAATTTTAATTTAGTAGTAATAGTTATTAAATAGTAATTACTATACATTTTTGTTACAAAATAATAAGTTAATTATTTTTTACAAATCCAAATACGATTTTATTTTGTCATATTATTATAATGTCGGCTAGGATGTATTGAATCATGTTAAAGCTAAAATATTTTATAGTTATGTATAATGGATAATATTATGCCTAAATAATAATTATACAAATCAAGTGTTAAACATGTAAATAAATGTTTTTATAGGTATGTTTGTTGACTGTGGTCTTTTATAACAAAATATGGACTGTTTTTGTCTGAAAATAAATAATTTTTATTTTATAAACGCCACAGGCCTCGTCACGATGCTTCACTACATAGTATAAAACAAAGTCGCTTTTCGCTGTCCCTATGTATGCTTAGATCTTTAGAACTACGCAGCGGATTTTGATGCGGTTTTTTTAATAGATAGAGTGACTCAAGAGGAAGGTTTGTGGGTACAAAACATGCATATTATAGAAGAGAAAAGCTGGGAAATTCGATTGCAACCGTGCGAAGCCGGGGCGGACCGCTAGTACTATAGAAATGTAAGACGTCTACGTCTGAAGGCCTCCCACTAGGTGGACCGACGATCTGGTTCATCTGGTGAAGGTCGCGGGAGGTACCTGGATGCAAGCGGCGCAGGACCGGTCTTTGTGGAAATCCTTGGGGGAGGCCTTTGTCCAGCAGTGGACGTCTTTCGGCTGAAACGAACGAACGAACGAACTACGTCAGCACTACAAGAGGCGTCTAGTTTCAAATCCCGCTAAAACGATTTTGATAAGATTTCGAGAAATTGAAAAAAACCGCTTATCCATATAGCTTTGGCCTTAGGCAAAAAAAAAATATGATACGAATTATTATTGTCATCTGGCAATACTAACAGTAATTGCTATTTATCTTTAAATTAAATATAATTTGAATTATAATGAAAACTATTTTCATTTTGGCGTATTTTGTTACGAACATTCGGTTTTAATGGGATTTGAAAAGGACATGTTGTATTTTAGCGGGATTTGATAAGAGCAAATTATGAAGCAACCACGTTATAAAAAAATCTCCATACTGATTTCGCAGTCACGTGACCAAAATACCGTGCTACCATTGGTCAATCAAGTTTTAGAGGGTTTTGAAAGAAACGGACGGCGTTTTAGCGGAGTTTGTAACACAAACTTAATTTTAAGTGCTAGTTTAGTAGTCTTTTAGTGTATTTTGATCGAAAATGATTGAACAGTATGATGAGAAAATTGCAGTAGCATCATTTAGAGATATAAACAGAAATTAGTTGCAGGAGCGTTTTAGCGGGTTTTGAAACTAGACGACTCTTAAGGAAGCATTGTGACGCAGTCAACGGCGTTTATTGGAGACCAAATTTTAACATCGATAGCTAAATCTTGAATTTAGCTACACTCAGGAAGTAATAAAACAAAAGACTAGTGTATAAAATGATTTTTATTAACATAACGCTTATTTGTCTAAAAAAAATACTTAACATTATAAAATCGATTTGAATACAATAAAAATCTTGCAAAATAATACTTTTGTGATGTAATAAATTAATAAATAATACTGAAAAATAAATAAATGCACATTTGTATAAGTAGCTGATTTCAAATAAGTACCAAAAAATTGCAAAGCTCATATTAATATTAAGTAAACGAGCCATCCTTTTACTTAAAAGCAGTCCTTTACATTTTTTGATTTTTATCACCCACTTTCGTCAGTCAGATGTCTTTTTTCCCCAATCAGCCATCCTTACGCTGATATTCTGCCACTCTTTCGCTCCCAATCAGCCATCCTGTTGCCTTAATTGGCCATTTTTCGTTCCAAATCGGTCATCCTCTCGCTTTCAATCAGCCATTCTCTCGGCCTAATCAGCCATTCTTTCGCTCTAATCAGCCATTCTCTTGCTTTCAATCAGCCATCGTCTCGCCCAAAATCCGCCATCCCCTCGCCCTAAATCAGCCATCATGTCGCCCTAATCAGCCATCCTCTAGCTTTTAATCAGCCATACTTCCGCTGGTATTCAGCCATCCCCTCGACTAAATCAGCCACCCCCTCGCCCTAATCAGCCATCACTAGGCCTATTGCACCTATGCCTTTTCAACGCACTGCTCTGAGCGAACTGGCTACAGCACATTTCACACGAAAACGGTTTCTCCCCCGTATGTATCCTCATATGCAATTTCAAATTCCCACTTATAGAAAACTGTTTATTACACACAGTACAATTATAAGGCCGTTCGTCAGAGTGCACACGCATGTGTTTGGATAGATTTCCTATTTGCTTGTTGCATATCTTGCAGGTGTAAGGTTTGATGCCCGTGTGGACTCGCATGTGACGTTTTAGCTGGCCGGTTTCGCGGAAACATCTGGGGGAAAGAAAATGCGTTGTTAAATAAGTAATTTATTTTCGTATCGGGACTGTTGCGCGAAAGACACTTGCGCGTAAGACATTTGCGCGAAGGCAAGCGCAAAAGAAAAGCCATTTGCGCGAATGGACGCTAGCGCGAAAAGACATGAGCGCGTAAGACACTAATAAAAAACTGTTTTCGCGCAAATATCTTTCGTGCTCATGTCTTTTCGCGCAAGTGTCTATGCTCGCAAATGTCTTTCGCGCTAACGTCCATTCGCGATACTGTCTTTTCGCACTTGTCTTCGCGCAAGTGTACCAGAACCATTTATTTTCGGCAAATAGGCGTTTTAAAAGCGATTTTACATGTCAACACATTTTAGCGTGAAAGAGTATCTTTAAAATCTTTCACATTCATTAAAATTACAGGACTCGAACCCGCAAATCGAAGTTTTTAGAGATCTAACAATCAAAATTACCTTTTACAAATCTCGCATGGATAGGGCTTCTCTCCAGTATGCACTCTCATATGAATCTTCAAGTATCCATTATCAGAGAACGGTTTCTTACAAACTTTACATGAAAACGGCTTTTCACCGGTATGAGTCCTTTCATGCAATTTAAAACTGGCCATTTGAGCGAACTGCCTGCTGCAGAAACTGCAAGTATACGGTTTAATACCAGTATGCACTCTCATATGCACTTTCAACGTTGTGTATGCTGTGAAATCCTTCTTACAAACTTCACATGAGAACGGTCGTTCACCCGTATGGGTCCGTTCATGGATTGCCAAATAACTTTTGCTCGAGAACTGCTTGTTACAGATTTTACAGGAATACGGTTTCATTCCAGTGTGTATTATTATTATGTGTCTTTTCAAGTGTGTCCTTTGGGGGAACCGTCTTCCACACACATCACAAACATAAGGCCGTTCACCGGTGTGGGTGAGCATATGAGATTTCAACGTTTGGTTATGCCCGAACGACTTGTTACAAACTTCACAGCTGTATTTCCTCTCACCGGTATGCGTTTTTAAGTGTTCTTTTAATCCTTTCTTCCTTTGGAACTCTTTTGAGCAATAACTACATTTGAATTTGTCATCGAAGTGAGATTTTAGATGTTTTTTTAACAGCCTTGTTTTGTCAAACGTCTTATTGCAAATTGTACAGACATATTTGCCGTTGTCCGAGTGTGTGCTTTCTATGTGTTTGGTCAAGTCTTTGCTGTTGACAAACTTTGTGTTGCACAATTGGCACAAATGAGTTTTTTCTCCAGTGTGAATCTTCATGTGTACTTCTAAAGAACCGTTGTAAGTGAATTTCTTTTGGCAGATGTCGCAAGCGAACTTTTTCGACTTCGCCTTTCGTTGTTTGCTCTGTTCTTCTGAAAATAAATAATAAATTAAATAATCAAGTGATTAAAGTTCGGTCGCCGAGCAGATCGAATTTCGTACAATGACCCCAAGCTACCCATCCTTATCTCCCGCGCGTAATTATATTGCTGTCGCGCTCGCACACACATTGTGGCTGCCCGTCGAACAGTCGCGATAATGTTAATAATGGATTGAATGTTTTTACTGTATCTTTTTGCACATAATTTCTTACGCCCGTATTCACAAATGTTGCTTGCTTATGTGCAGGATGAAGGTGCAAATGGAGGATTTGGTCTACAACACTCCCCAATATGACCAGACGAAGTTTGCCGGGTCAGCTCTAGCTAAGTCCGGTCGCCAAGCAGATAGAATTTCGTCCAATGACCCCAAGATACCCGTCCTTATCGCTCGCGCGTAATTTGACATCGCGCTCGCACACTCACTTCGGCCGCCCATCGCACAGTGAGTGTGCAAGCGCGACAGAAATAGAATTACGCACGTGCGACAAGGATGGATAGCTTGGGGTCATTGTACGAAATTCTATCTGCTCAGCGACCGGACTTTAGTCATGTAGCAGCCGCCCGCCACTAAGCGTGGATCCCGTTTTACCCCCTTAGGGGTGGAGTTTCGTAAAATCCGTTCTTAGTCAGCACCTACATTCTAAAAGGAACCCATGCAAAAATTGAGACTCCTAGCACTTGTAGTTTCTGAGATTTCGTGATGAGTCTGTCAGTCAATCAGTGACCTTTCGTTTTTATAGATACATACGTGGTTCCTCCGTATCACTCTGTCCCGGCTCCCAATCCCTGTAGGAATCCTCACTGGCCCTCCGTTTGTTTGCGAGGGTAGACAGCGGCTGGTCTTCCAAATCCGTCTCGATGAAGATCTCCATTGAGGGTACTTTGTCTTCTGAAAAAGGTCTCTTTTTAAAAAAAAATAACTAAAAAAAGCGAGCGAGCGAGATCGAATCAGAAATGAGGAAATCCGTAAACGAACTAAAGTCGCTGACATAGCCTGACGGATTAGCAAGCTGAAGTGGCAATGGGCAGGGCACATAGTACGCAGAACTGACGGCCGATGGGCAGCAAGGTTCTGGAATGGAGGCCGCGTACCGGAAAACGCAGCGTGGGACGTCCACCTACAAGGTGGACCGACGACATCGTAAAGGTAGCAGGGAAGCGCTGGACGCAGGCCGCTACCAATCGATCAATGTGGAAAGCATTGGGGGAGGCCTATGTTCAGCAGTGGACATCCTATGGCTGAAATGATGATGATGAATTAAAAAAAGAAACTGTAACTGCTCTTGGAACAGATATATGGGTAGAAAAGATATGGGTTGACTTACCATCATTGTATTTAATGTCTTTTTCGTCAGGAAATAGAGTTTCTTCTTTTGGACCTGCAAAACAAGAGATAGGATCAAAATATTTTAATAAAACTAAATTAATCCATTAATCTATCATCTTCTTAAGTTTGGCACGCTCTTTACGGAACACCCTGTATTTTATTTTATTTATTTAATAGGACAACCAACAAGACATACACTGGAAGATAAATAAGATAATCAATATTTACAACGTATATAACTCTGTATGTATAACTCACCTTCTGAAATACTGCCTACTTCTAATTTTACACCTTTCATAAAAGATTCTCCATCTGAAACACAATAAATGTTTATTTAATTTTCTGAACATACATATTTAGACGTAGCATGGGCAAGCCTCACTAGGTGGACCGACGATCTGGTAAAGGTCGCGGGAGATGCCTGGATGCGGGCGGCGCAGGACCAGTCTTTATGGAAATCCTTGTGGCCTTTGTCCACAAGTGGACGTCATTTGGCTGAAACGATCGAATATTCTGAACATACATATTTTGCCACATGTTCAGGGCCGGATTAACCATCTCGGGGCCCCTAGGCACAGCTCGTTTCGGGCCCCCCTTTTTTGTCGCGGAGGAAATGAAATGCGCACCGTCACCACTGCCGGAGGACATGGGTAATGTGTGGGACTCCCGGCGCCCTAAAAAGAGCGCTGCTCCGTCACTAAAACCTCCGCGGCGTTCCTTCATCGCCCAAGTGAGGGTGTCGCGACTATCCGGCCGTAGCCTTAGACTTCCGAGACACCACGCTACAGCGACAGCTCGCCTACACGGCGGACCCTACACGCCCCCCTTGTGGGGGTCCGACGGAAATGCCCGAAACGCCAAGCCTTTCCCGTCAGACGAAAGTGACAAGGGTGCTCCCGCACCCCCGGCCTGCTAGCCGCCACCTGGGGGCAGAGTAGAACGGTCGTACAACCGCCTTCTCCGCCCCCTTCTCCGCCTGCGGAGCGATGAGACGAGAGGATCGTTCTCCCGCTCGCGCTCCACTGCCTCCTTCTGAAGGATGACCTCTTCGCAAAAGGAGGCGATTGCCTTCCAGCATCCTTCACTTCCTAGCATGGCGATGACCAGGCTCGGAAGCGAAAGATCCCGGCCCACGACCACAGTGAGGACACGGCGCTGCTCCTCCCAGCCTGTGCAGACCGCGAGGGTGTGCTGCACCGTGTCATCCGCCGCGCCGCATTTGTGGCACACGGGGATTCCTCTCGCCCGATTCTATGCAGGTACGAACCGAAGCCATGCCCGGTCAGCACCTGCGCCAGACGGAACCTGAGGAACCCGTGCGGTCGTTCCAACCATTGGTCCAGAACAGGACAAATGGCGTCCAGAGTGCGGCGGCTAAACTGCGCGCGAGTCATGTCTTCGTGACGGCGCCGCACCGCTCCGGCACTTTCCACGCGCCTTCTGGTCTGCCATCCAGTGATAGATGGCAGACAAGACCCCAGCTTCTAGCTCGCAAGGAGGAGTACCAGTGAGGACGCACGCCGCAGAGTTCCCTACCGTGCGGTAGGTCTTTGCGACCCTCTGCGCTATGGCCCGCTGGGGTCTGCGCAGAAGGGCAGCATTCTCCCTCTTGTTGAGTGCGTCCACCCAGACTGGGGCGCCATACAGCGCCATGCTCCTCAGAAGGCAGGCATAAAGTCGACGGCACCTCGTTTGTGCAGGACTATAGGACAGGACTTCGCGGTCCCGTAAGTAATCGGCCAGCAGCGCTCGAAGGTACTGAGGCACTCTGTGATGTTGAAGTGCCTAGAGTATGGTGGAATGAGGGATGGTATTGAAAGCGTTGGCTATATCGAATGATACAGCCAACACACCCTCAGCCCTCTCCCTAGCCTCCGCTTTTTAGCCTCTGAAGGGCGTCGACCGTCGTGTAAACCAAAGCAGTAATGCCAACGTCACGAAAATGAATTAGGTTCCACAATATTGAAATATGACGATTGAATGTGTAAACCAAAATAAGGCGAAGTTTTGAGGTGGTTTGAGTTTTGTTGCATAAGAATTTTTTCATTTTTTTATCGGGAGTGCTGGGCCCCTGGTCATAGTGGGCCCCTGGCCATAGTGGGCCCCTAGGCACTGGCCTAAAGTGCCTTATGGATAATACGGCACTGCACATGTTGATTATTTCTTTGGGCTATGGAAACTGGTTATGGGCAAGCTAAATTTTTGGCACTTAATTTATTATTATTACTTTGGTATTTTTCCTGAAATGTTTAGGGAGGTCTGATGTTAGCATATTAATTGTCCCTTAGTCACTTTTTAAGACACACTGAAGAGAAGTGGTCTTATTTTACTGTCAGAACAACATGGCAGTCATTATCATGGTCATACTCAGCTTCTGGCCTAGGGACTTCCTAGGCCAGCGGTTCCCAAACTTATTTAGTCTACTGCCCACTTAGAGAATAAATTATTTTTAGCGCCCCCCATTTTTGTAGTCAAGAGTCGAGCTCAGTCGGTGTCTAAGAGTTCTCCTAGTAGATGACGCCTCCCAAGCCTCTACACAACGTCCCGATTTTTTTTTCAGGGTTTCTTACCGCCCGAGCGCCCACAAGGGGGCGTTATCGCCCACTTTGGGAAAGACTGCCCTAGGCCCTAGTAGGGAGGAGCAAGTCATACCAAGCTTTTGGCCTAAGGGGAGGTTCAGATCGTTTGACTTAGCTCCTCCAAAAGTACACCCATGACATTATTGTGCCTATAGTCATTGGTCATTAAGTAAAATTCAGTACATAGGCCCTTACTAGGGCACTTATACTTGTCCCAAATATAGCTTGCCCTACAACCTCTTCGGAACATATGGGCTGGTGCTGAGAAGAAGTGGCGGAAGAAACTCAGTCACCTTTGTCAGCCTCTTTTTCAATAAAATACAGTAATTTATAGCTTATATGTTACGCAATAAGTGCGAGCTAGGCAGTAAAATCTATACTAATATTATAATTGCGAAAGTAACTCTGTCTGTCTTGTTTTCACGCCTAAACCACTGAACTGATTTTGATGAAATTCGGCATAGATAGTTTGAGTCTCGGGAAAGGACATAGGATAGTTTTTATCCCGGTTTTTTAAATAGGCGCGCGCGATAAAGTTTTTCTGTGACAGAAAAAATTCCACGCAGGCGGAAATCTAGTAATTAATAATTAAAACTGACGTACCATTAACACCGCACCCAGCGTAATACCTCATGAACTTCTCTTCGCACGCTACGACTTGCTTCTTGAAGAGCACTGCGTCTGTCAGCCGCGGCTCGCATAGCGGACAGATGTTGTACGTGTTCGCTCCTATCTCTCCTGGCAAAGGCGCTATCTGTAAGAGTATTTTATTATTTATTAGTTATTATACAAATTACTTATAGTCCGGTTAGCCCCTCGTACTGAGCTAAATATGCTTGTATCACGAATAAGCTCACTACAATACTTGGCCAGTCCAACTCTTTCACTGTTCGGGTATCATGGCTTCTAAGCTTTGGCTATCGTGGCTATTTTTTTCATATTTGTTTGAATAATAATAGTCTAATGCCTGTTTTCACCATCTATCCCTAATTTCCCTATGAAAACAAAATTCCCGTTATGTGTTACCATAGGGGTCACTTAAAAATTAGGGTTTATGGTGAAAAAAAAGTTAGGCAAAATTTGACATTACAATATTGATGTGGCATAAAGAATATTGTGGTAAGCAGTAAATGAAAATAAATACATACAGATACTTTTTATTGCACACTACAAAAACAAAATAGAGACAAGTAAAAGAAATACAAAATCAAAATGATACAATTTAAAAAGCCTAGTGCTATGGAGAAATGTTTTTCAGAAAATCCAGTGAGAGAACAGATAATGTTTATTACTTCATTTCATAATAAGCCATGTAAATGTGATAGAAGATTATGTTATGGTTGGTTGAATTTATTATCTTCTTATTATATGTATAAGATATTTAAACAGATAGCGTAAGCGGTCAGAAATTCTATGTATGGTTTTTAAAGACACCTAACCAGAAATTATATGGACATTTTTTTATATTAATTGCAAGGCAATTTACAGGAAGCAAGGTGATTTATGATCAAACTATATACAAAATGAGTTACTGGGTCTGTTTGTAAGCTAAAAAGACATTTAAATTACTTTAAATAACATACATTCACTTCGAAAGTCTCGCGAAGCATTGTCGACAATATTTCGTCCACTCCATTTACAGAATATGATCCGCTTAGGCTCTTGAAGGTGCCTTCTGCGTGGCAGCAGCGGCACAAACCATTTGCGCTCCATAACTCGGTCATTTTAATTGATTTTCATTATAATTTTAATACAAAAACACGGTCGCTACGTAGACGACATCTTTTTGTTTTGACAATTTTGACGTTTTTTTATTTTTATTATTATCTTTATGCATACAGATGACAGATTTATACAGCCTAAAACAACATACCTAGGGATAGCGGATAGTTTATTTTGGTATGCTTGTGCTTAAAAAAAATACGTAGGCTGTGGTAGGCTGGCTGGCTGTCACTTGGCTTGTTGTGTTGTTATCTGTCAAAACTGTCAGTGTACTTCTCTTGCTTGGATTGGCGATTGGCGATCGAAATTTTTCATTTTTTCCTCAAAGTAAATCAATTTCATGTCCGAAAACACTGAAATATGGAACTTAAATGCCTTATGCCGCTGCTGCCACAAGTATGGGTATTTCAAAAGCCTGCAAGATACGTATATTTATGAAACCGAAGTGGAAGTGTACGCCAAAATGTTACGAGATGCCTTCGACATAGAGGTGGGCTATACTCAGCTGTATTTGCATTTAAATACATTCAAATGTATTCTATTTTATGTAGTATAACTTATCTTCCTTGCCAGTTATGTTTTTGCCAGTAAATATGTAGATTACTGTGGTTAAACAATGTTGGGAATGGACTATTTTTTGTTGTAATTATTAAGTTTATTTCGTTAGTCAGTCATCATTGTTACTGGAAAGCTTCTTAAATATTAACATACAAATATTGTCCCCTTGTTTGTTGCAAAACAACTACATTACAAACTAAATTTCTCCCATCTGTCTTTTCAATTTAAATATGAGTAGTAATGAACTCATTTAGCCTTAAATTTAAACACAACTTCTTACTAAGTCACCTAAATTTAAAATTTATCTGTATTTTTTGCTATAAAACACTTTCTTTCTTTCTTTACAATAAAAAAAAAACTATGTTACCACAGCATTAAAACTTAATTTGGCTTATGCCCGTACTCACAAACTAAAAGGAGGCTGACAATAGTGACTGAGTTTCTTGCGCTTTTCTCAGCATTGGCCCATTTATTGTCCCGAAGCAGTGGTAGGGTTGATACTGGGACGTGTAAAAGTGCTTTTTAAAAGCCTATTTGCAAAAATAAATGAGTTTCAGTTTTTTTTAAACGATGCTTGCTTAAGTGAAGCAGTAAATCGAACGCACTTCATTGAATCCTCTTTAATTGGTTCATGTGTCACCCTGTGCGTAAGTCCTCATAAAGCCCGGTCTGTGAGCACGTAGAATTTTGTCCAATGACCCCAAGCTACCCATCCTTATCGCTCGCGCGTAATTATGTTGCTGTCGCGCTCGGATACTCACTGCGGCCGCCCGTCGCACAGTCGCAACAGCAACATAATTACGCGCGAGCGATAAGGATGGGTAGCTTGGGGTCATTGGACAAAATTCTACGTACTCACAGACCAGACTATAGTAATGTTTGTGAATACAGGCGTTAGTTTAACTGATCTTTTCAATACTTTTCGCAGATAAAGCAGCCGTTACTAGACGCTAGCAACTCGATCTGTGAGGTGTGCATAGTAAAGCTTCGGCATGCAGTCGATTTCAAGAAGCAAGTTTTGGAGTGCGAGAAGAAGTTTGCTGTTTACTGCAAAAGTGAGTATTTCAGTTATAAATAAAGCCTTTATCACTGACAGTATGAAGCGTCGGCGCCGAGCGATCAGCGTCACTCAGGAACGTTCCCTTCAATTACATACATATTGATCAGTCAGCGCCGACGATCAGCGAGCGGTCAGCGCGATTCTAAAACCAGCCTTATACATTACTAGCCGCTGCCCGCGACTTCGTACGCGTAGATCCCGTTTTACCCCCTTAGTGGTTGAATTTTGCAAAATCCCGTCTTAGTGAGCACCTACGTTCTAAAAGGAACCCCCATGCAAAATTTGAGACTCCTAGCACTTGTACAGTCGCGGAATGAAAAGGTTCGTCACCTTAGTGTCGGTTTTCGCTTGCACTAGGTACTGTAAGAGTCAAACCTGCCAACATAACCGTGCAAGAAACAGTGCTGCTAACATTTAAATAAATATGACGTTTGCTAACGAATAAGGTTTTGCTTGTTTATTTTTCTATCCCATCAGTGCAATGTTACAAAATGTAGTTATTTTTATTTAATAGATAATGGCAGGTTGAACCAACAAGAAGGTTTTAGTTTATCAATCATAATACTCTTCTTGACAAGTTAAATCGTCAAACAACTTTGATCTGAATAATTTTGAACTTTACTGACGAACAGTTAAAGATTATTTTCTCTAACTCGAGATTATTCTGTAAGTTTCAAAAGGTAATATTTGCTCGTGATTCGTTGAAGGAATCAATTTGAAAACTGACGAACCTTTTCATTCCGTGACTGTACATTCAATTTTGTCCAATGACCCCAAGCTACCCATCCTTATCGCTCGCGCGTAATTATATTGCTGTTGCGACTGTGCGACGGGCGCCCGCAGTGAGTGTGTGAGGGCGACAGCAACATAATTAAGCGACGGAGCGATAAGGATGGGTAGCTTGGGGTCATTGGACAAAATTCTACGTGCTCACGGACCGGGCTTTAGTTTCTGAGATTTCGTGATGAGTGAGTGAGTCAGTCAAAGATTTTTTTGTATTTACAGATGAACTTATCAGCAATGGAATGGAACCGGTGAAAATTGAAGCCGATTTTGATATGGGTAAATAATATAAATTAAATTATGTTTAAATTATTGAATAACATTTTATTCTAAAATTTGGTACAAATAATAAAGGCTCTTTATAAAAAAGAAAATAAACTATAGTTCGTTTCATCCACGAAGACGTGCGGGGTCGAGGGAAGCGGGGAGTGCGGGGAGTTTGATCCGACCAATCAAAAGTAGTTTGCGCGCGCACTCACGGACAACCATCCAATGAGGGTTTTCGCGATTGAAAAATCCGCCAGATGGCAATACGTAGACGCGAGGTCCAAATGCTGCATGATTGGTTATTTTTGACATGACATTGACAGATATGTCAAAATCCAACGCTGCCAATGCCAATATAATGGCCTATAGTAAATCAAGCACTTTAAGGAGCCCCTTAATAAAAAAATCAGCAATAAATTTATATTACGAGACTTTTAATGGCATTTACTTACGATTGCTAAGGCTGTGGACTACAGGTTTACAAATATAGATCGTTTCATCAACAAAGACGCGCCCCACCATTCTCTCGCTAATGTTTGAGTGTTATCGGTACACGCTAATGCTCCATGAGTGCACACGCACACTACAGTAATGCCATACGGATTGCTCGGACCACACTCCCCGCACCCCGCGCGACCCAGACCAAACATTGCTGGGGTGCGGCCGAGTGGATGAAACGAACTATACTGGTCTATGCAAATACAGAAATTTTGATTACACTTTGAAGTTATATTTCACAGCAATATTTTTTTAACTGACGTTTATTTTACAACTTAAATGTATAATGCAAGTTGTAAATACATTTCAGATTATGATGCTGAATATAATGATGAATTTGGTGAGTTGATTTGTTATTTTTATTGAATTCTCTTTTTTAATAATGAAACAAGAAAAATCTGATGGTGATTTTTTTATTTTACAGAAATTAAAATAAAGTGCGATAATCCTGAGGACGATATCACGAAAAAGGAAGAAGATGGTAAGTAAATAATGATATTTTTAAATGTTTTGTATGTCCCGTTTACCCCCTTAAGGCACATAGCTCGAAGAGCTGATGGCCGCTGGGGCAGGAAAGTTCTTGAGTGGCGACCACGAGCCGGAAGACGTAGCGTGGGCAGGCCTCCCACTAGGTGGACCGACGATCTGGTGAAGGTCGTGGGAGGTGCCTGGATGCGAGCGGCGGTCTTTGTGGAAATCCTTGGGGGAGGCCTTTGTCCAGCAGTGGTCGTCTTTCGGATGAAACAAACGAACGCTTAGGGGTTGAATTTTGGAAAATTCCGTCTTAGTGAGTGATTCTCTTCATAATTTAATTTGTTATCAAATTATTCCCATTCATAACAAAACTCGTTAGGTAGGTTTTCGTCCCAGTTAATTTTAATTTTCCATAAACGTTGAATTTGAATTTGTATAAAACAGTGAGCACCTACGTTCTAAAAGTAACTCCTATGCAAAATTTGAGACTCCTAGTACTTGTAAATAGTTTCTGAGATTTCGTGATGAGTTGGTGACGTCATTCAGTTTTTTCACTTTCGCTTTTCTATACTTATAATAAATCTGTAGAGAGGTCTATTCTGTACATGAAATATATTTTCAAAATAACTATCAGGGGGTGATAAGTGATCGATACTGATGCCAAAAATGCAATCAGTAAAATGTTTGTCTGTCTGTCTGTCTGTATGTTCCTTATAGAAACAAAAACTACTCGACGGATTTTAACGAAACTTGGTACAATTATTCTTCATACTCCTGGGCAGGTTATAGCATACTTAGGAATTCCCTCGGGAACGGGAATTAGCGGGAAAATCCTTTTGTATGAAAAATCTAAACCGCTTAAGTTAGACGCTTGAAATTTGGCATGCAGGTACCTTAGTAAACTTAAAGCTTAGTTACAACAGGATATTGCAAAATTCCCACGGGAACGGGAGTTAGCGGGAAAAAACATTTGTATGAAAAAATCTAAACCGCGTAGGATAGATGAAGGGGGTAAAACGGGATCCACGCGTACGAAGTCGCGGGCGGCCGCTAGTATAGGTATAAGATAATAATATAAATCTTTTCTGTTTTCAGATTTGTACGATACACAAGCAGCAGGCATAAAATCTGAAGGTAAATGAAGATTTTGACAACTATCTATACTAATATTATAAAGAGGAAAGATTTGTACCTATTTTTGTATGTTTGTAATGAATAGGCTCAAAAACCACTGAACGAATTTTGATGAAACTTTACAGTATTATTGTTCATAATCCAGAATAACATATAGGCTATAATTTATGACGATCTGTGACAAACGAAATATCACGCGTGCGAAGCCGCGGGCGGAAAGCTAGTTTATTATAAAATGAGTTTATAAGCATTTTGTTGAATTTTTTTTTTATATAATGTGGTCTCACCGTGCGTGTGGACGCACAGGGTGACACAC